CCCCCCCCCCCCCCCAGATGCCCCGAAAGGACGCTCCGGTCGCGCGCGTTTCTCCGTGTTGATATTTGTACGAGCGCTACCACTGCGTTGCGTTATTTTTCATAACGTAACGCTTTTGCGTGGAGTTAGAGAAATAACTCTACGGCTTGAGGTACTGGCTATTTACCGCACGCAACAGCGTTGCGTTATAGGGCACATTACGTGCACGCGTGAGGAAAATTAATATTCTGGCGACGGTAAAACGGGCGAATAAGAAATATCTGATAAAAATATTTATTTCAGAATCGCGTGTAACAAGCAATTTAAAAAGTAAAAACAAAAAATAATTACCTTTATTTCCGATAGGAGCGTAATATTTTCATCATTTTCCTCTATCGCATCCTGTGTCGCCTCGTCCTCTTCGTCTTAATTCGGATTAACGTAAACATCGATATTAGAAATATTTTCCTCGATGATGTGAACTTCGTCATCATTATCATCATTATCATCATCATTATCATTATCATTATCATTTTCCATGTCTTCCTCCTCTTCTTCCGTCTCTTTTTCTTCCGCCTCCTCTTTTTCTATCACTGGCTCTTCCTCTCACACTTCTTCGTTCGCTGTTGCAAAAAATTTTTCGTTATTATAATTTTGATTTTAACTTTGCATATTTTATTAACTTTTTTTAAAAAAAGAACTTACACGATACAGAAACTAATGAGACTATAGTGCCCAAAGAGATGACGGACTCGCAACGCGAACCTCATCATTATCATCTGAAAAAACAAAAATTATTTTTTACTTTTTTATTACATTTCATCAATATCATGTGAATTAGATTTCATGATTATTTTTTAGAAAAAAATACTTACCAATTGCAATGACAGGGATGTCACGCGGAAGCTGTATTAGGAGACGCGGTAGTGTCTCCGATCATGTTCAAAAACTGAAAGATACTACAAGTCTCTTATCCCGAGCCACCAAAGTCAATTTTTGGGGGATGCATAACTACTAAAATATAAAAAATTTTGAATCAAACGTTATTATGTCCTAAAAGGCGACATCGCCAAGAATAATTTGAGCCAAAAAAATTTTTAATTGGTCAAACCGTTCTGGAGATACAAACGGTCGAAAAATGATGATTTTAATGAAAAATTAAGAAACGTCTCCTTCTTCTTCTTCTCTGTCCGCATTCAAGGCCGTATTAAAACTTCCTAATATCCCCTCTCACCTTTCAATCATACCTTCACCATCTTCGACCGACCGCGACCTCTCCCACCGCCCCTTCCCCTCCCCCACCACCTCTCTCTTTTGCCGTATTTCACTCTCTTTCGTTATATAATATTTTTAAATCATTTTTTTATATATTTGTAATATATTTGTACTCTAAAAAGTGATATCCGAAAAAATCATATCATAAAAATGAAAAGTTCAAGCCATATTCAAAAAAGGATACTCAAACATTTAAACCTTTTGGTAATTGTTCACTTTAGGGGAGCCACCTCCAATGACCTTGACTTTGACATATGTTGTCAAGGTCATGACTCTGAGTAACCTCCAACAAGTTTTAGCCGTCGCTCGTCCTTCGTTAAAAAGTTATTAATAATCATAGTTTTAAAATTAACATATGATATATAATACATGTATGATATTAAGTACTATTCTACACCTTTCCTTGTTCAGGAACGTTAAACTTTTCACGCGAGGTTAACATTCACCCCCCTCCCCCCCTTGCCAAGGGGCACACGACTTCCATGATTGTACTGTTGCTATGATTGTACTGTTGGGGCAGACTTCTATCGACGGGGCGGGTGAGGGAGGGGGGCGGACCTACGATCCGCCCCCTTGCACTTCTCCCGTGTGTGTGTGTGTGTATGTGTGTGCACAGTACAATTATAAAAGTCGTATGTGTAGATACAGTAGGTTCCGCTCCCCCTGCGAGGAGGCTCCACTACTGTTAAAAATAACCTAACCCAACCCATTTAGTGGTCTGAGGTAGCTGTTGCTTTGCGTAGAAAGTCGAAACCCATGTGCAACAGTACAGGCATGTGACTTTCTATGCGAAAACAGTTCCATGATTGTACTGTTGCACATGGGTTTCGACTTTCTACGCGAAGCGAGAGCTACTTCACACCACTAAATAAGTTGGGTTATGTTATTTTTTACAGTCGTGGAGCCCCCCGCAGGGGGATGAAACTTACTGCATTCACGTGAAGCGACTCTCACCCCATTTCTTTCTCTGTGAAGGAGCTTGCAACTTCTATGTCGCTTTATGCACCCTATACACCCTTTTGCAGAAATGATACATTATTTTTAAAACTTTAAATGTTCATAACTTTTTAACGAAGGGCGAGCGATGGCTAAAACTTGTTAGAGGTTACTTAGGATTATGACCTTGACAACATATGTCAAGGTCAAGGTCATTGGAGGTGGCTCCCCTAAAGTGAACAATTACCGTTCACTTTGTACTGACACCTTTTTTAATATATTATTGTCCTCCGATACAAATCGTACTCTTCCAAGAAAAAAGTAAAAAATATTTTAATATAATCAAAATTTCTTAACGTTTAATTAATATTTTTCTCAATACTTACGTGCTGGTACTTCTTCTACTCCTAAGACGACGTCTTAGTCCAAATCCTACTGATCGTTCGTTACGAAGGGGTATTACGTGTCCTATAATACGATTCGAAACTATGAAATGAAATGATAAATTTTATTAAAGTAAACTTTTAGTGAAAAATGTATAATATATTGGATCATATTTTAGAAAATTATTTGTGCTTACCTCCTAGCTCTATACGCCGCTTGAAGTCGGCTATATGGCCTTCCACGTCGTTCTCTTCGTGATCATATAAATCATGGACTTCGATGTACGATTATATTTCTTAATCGTTAATTATGACCAATGCTCTAAAGCCAGAAACACATAGAAAAACATAAGGCCGTAAGCGTAATCAGTAAGGAAATCGTAACATTGGATTCGCTACCGGCCTTACGGTCTCTACTGTGATTGGCCAATTCGCTTATTGATTACGCGTTTTACGGCCTTACGGTTTGTATGTGCCATGGGCTTAATATTTCAATAAAATTCCTTTTTCTTTTCATAAAAATTCGAATCAAAGATTTGTAACTGACTGATTGACAATATAATATTATTTTTATTTTTTTCGTTTAACGCATAAAAATCGTAGGTTTAAATCATGTCATGATATGTTTGAGAAATGAAATAATCCGCTATTCAGTCAGTGAAAAAAATTCTTTCATTTTTTCTGAAAAAGGAAAACTATTTCATAGCCGAAAGTGAGAAAGATTCTTCTAGAATTTATTATTTAGTTAAATATTATTACGCAAGCATTTTTTGTTACTATTTTGAAGATAAGTACAAATCGCTCCACTCAGAGGTACGCTGCTTCATTCGAGTCTCATCTTTCGAAGCGACTATTTCGTGAATAAACTAGTGTTGTACTTATGATTTTCATATCGATATTATTCAGGATGCAAATTCAAAATGAACATACATACATATAAGTAAAACAGATTACAATTTGCATAATACAGTTTTCTAGAAAATAACTGCAATATATTATTCTTACAAGGGAACATAACCAAGTGTATCTCTCCGATATAAATGAGCTTTTAGTATGTTGTTCTACAAACAAAAATAAGAAACACGTATTTATTTATACGTGTTGAGTCGCATGATAAGGGGGTGAAATCCTTTCTTTAAAAAAATCTTTTTTCTTTCGAAGCGAATATCTTCGAAATTATAAGAGATAGAAAAAAACTTTTATAATGAAAATTGAATGATTGCAAGAGTACTTTATAAGTATAATAAAACAATTTTTTTTAAGTATTTATTGTATTCCTCCACTCTCCACTCTTATTTTCAAAAATTTTTTAATTTTTTAAATGACAAAAGTTAAAGAGTATTTTACGCTGAAAACAACGGTGTGTATTTAAATCACGTTCCGAAAAATTATTTTTCAGATATGAACGAAGACGTCTCTTTATACGCGTTCCATACGTATTTGTACCGCGTTGAGGGCACAGGATACTGACCATTGAAGGACTAATTATGTAATAAAGAACGTTTAATTTAAAACATGAAGATAAAAATAATTACAAAAGTTTCAACACTGATCGAGTCTCAATGTTATAGTAAATATATTATTATAAAATAATTAGAAATCTACAATATTGCTTCATAGTGGTATTTTCGTTTTCTTTCCATTATCAAAATGTTGCAAGTCAACAAATTATAATAGTAAGATTGGTCATTAAAAAATTCATAGTAGTAATGCAGTAATAATCTATGATAATTGTAAAAAGTGACTGTTAATAAAGAAAAATTAATGCGATTACACAACAAAATAAAAATAATTAGATTTCGCTCGTTTTTTGTAATATAAAGTATAAAGAAACGTCGGTGTAAATCGGGCGGTAATGTTTTTTTATATAAATTAAATTTATAGTTTACAATGTTAGTATTACATAAAATAAAAATAAAAAATATATAAAGTATAAAATATAAAAAATGTGAGAGTATCGAAAGTTTCGGAACTGACAGGTCCTTCTTCAGGGATTCTTGAAAATGTTACAAAAGAAATGAATAATCTTACGATGTAAGCGACATAGTGCGGTATAATTGTTCCAAAGAATTTATTCGCCTGTTTTTATGTAAATTGTGTCTAAAAAGTGAAAAATTCATTGTCGTCAATATGAAATAAAAGTAGTCAAGAGGTAAAAACTGGATAAGCGATTTAAATAAAAAAAAAAATATAATTCAAATGTAATATAGAGATTATAAGTATAAGAATAATTATATAATGTAATTAATATAAAAACGTGGGAAAGGTATTGAAATAATTTTAATCATCTTTTTATATATTTTAAATAAAATATTTTAAAACTAATACGAGAACAGGGCTACGAGCCTGAGATTCATTAAAATCTTTAATTCTATTAATTCTAATATATTGCGAAGAATATCACGTAATGTTGGCGTTTCGTCCCGGCTTCCAATACTGGACTCATCAGTAAGGTATTGTAATGGAAGCCTACCTTAGACGCCTGTTTTAGTTATTAAATCGAGATTCTATATATACAGATATACGCGTATCAAAGCACTTGCGAAAATCTTAGCGAACATCTATAGACCTCTGATGGCGGGTCGACGTAGTAATATTCTTCGCAATATATTATTCAAAGTGATATATGTATATGTATTCCTTTCCCACCCCCCACTTCTCGCAAGTGCTTTGATACGCGTATATCTGTATATATAGAATCTCGATTTAATAACTACAACAGGCGTCTAAGGTAAACTTCCATTACCTTACTGATGAGTCCAGTATTGGAAGCCGGGACGAAACGCCAACATTACGTGATATTCTTCGCAATATATTAGAATTAATAGAATTAAAGATTTTAATGAATCTCAGGCTCGTAGCCCTGTTCTCGTATTAGTTTTAAATTCGTTGAGCCTTATTACAATAAATATATAAAATATTTTATTTGACAGAATCATAAGAATACCAACATTTGTTGCAAGGAAAACTGCCAAAAACCTTACCAGTATTCTTTACAAAAATATGTTTTATAAATATAATTTATAATAAAATAACAAAGACAAAATTAACTCAATATAAATGCTTTTTACGCAATGTTTTTTTACATCCCCCTTCCCATTGCAATATTTATGGCTCATACTAATCACAAAGATGATTATCATGAAAGAAATGTTATATACAGAGAGATTTTTTGCACCATGCACAAGTAATTACAGCTACTTGACCACAAATATCGCATGTTGGTTTTGAATGTTTTTTAAAACAAAAATCGACCGGTGTGTCAAATTCTACCTATGTTCCAAATATCCAATTTTGTATCAAGCGTGTTTAAACAAATTAGTAAATCTTGGCGATGAAAACTGATTGTGCGTCAATGATTGTAATTTTAAAATAGCGTTTCTAGAATAAAGCTTTACATCAAGATCTAAAAGCATGACTACATCTGAAAAATGCTTGATGAAATTCTTCCACAATCGGAATCCAAAAATATCTAACGGTTGTATTTTTCCTGTTGTTCCAGCCGGTTTAGTTAATAGAACAATATCTTGTGCAGAATCTGGTTTATTTCTTTGAATTATATCCGAACAATAATCAGTCCATGAATCTAACAATAGATTTGGTGCAACATTTGGAAAATATACATCCTTTACCTAAGTTTCAAAATGATTAGATGTTAATTTATCAGATTTTGACACCATAATAAAAATATTATTTGCATTAAACATCGTTGCTTGTACCCTAGGACCTAATGACTCACTAGGTTCTTTTAACACTATAAGAAGTGAAGATAGTAATCTACCATCGGCTGAAATAACAGGTAATATTGTATAACTATGCGTAATCGTCGATATTGACTGTGCTACAGACTCTACTTTTTTTACATCTTTCTGTGCCAATGTATGACCAACATGTAATTCTAATTGAAAACCACTTTGGTCCGAATTATACACATTTTCACTTCCATAGCGGTCAATATAATATTTAACATTTTCAATAAATCTATTACTATCTGCTAGTAAAGCTTCCTTTGATATTAAAGCTTTTTTTAGTTAATTTTGTCACTTTTCTAGATACAATTTGATGTGCAAGCTTAAATCTTCTAACCCATTCGTGAGATGCTTTAAAACCTAATAAGTTTTCTTGTTGTTGCGCTTGCAAAGCCCATCGTGTAATATCAATATCATGGATCATTGCCCTTTTATGTATCGCTTCAATAAATTTATCTAACGTGTATGCTGAAATTCATTCCAACTTTTCAAGTCTATTACCACCTACATTCATTTGTTTTTCCCATCGTCGGGATTGCTGATGTTACTTTTCGAAACCTTGATTTTACAGATTCAATTTGTTCTTGGCTTTAACTTACCACTTCTCCAATATTCAACTGCTCCTCTTTCATATTCTGCTAAAATATCGTCGATGTCACAAACCATTTCTTTTACATTGCATGCGTAATTTTCTTTTTTATCTACGAGTTCTATTTCTTGTGTTTCTGATACATCATATGAGTTTCAAAAATCTTCTTCTTTGATTTCAAAGTAATCTTCGTACATCTTTTCCATTCTTCTCTCCATCGTAACTTCTTCTAATGTTATAGGACTTTCTGGGAAGTCCAATGCAGTAAATACTGCAGATAGCATTTCGTGGATTAAACCGCATTATTTTCTAAAAATTACAAATATTATTTACATGTCTATTTCCAATATTTCCGAGAGCGAACGAGAGAACAAAATAAAATGGGTTAACTTACTATTTAAATATTTTTTGTAATTTTCTAGAGAGAGATCATGGTAGAGATCACTCCAAGCCTTTGAAAGGAAGAGATTTCGGAGGTTCCCTCTTGGTTCCAAAAACAGGATGAGCAGAATTCACGGACTTATCAACTCGCCGTGGTGTATATTATACTGATTCAGATAACGGATTCAGAGAATAGTCTCGGGCAATTGACTCGAACTATCGTCTCGGACAACTGCTTCTGACTGCTTCCCAAAAGAAATTCTTCACTTCGACTGACAATATGTGCTTCCGTGGTCCTCTTGTTTATATTATACGAAAACATGGTCTTTATGATTTTCCGTATTGTTAGAGCTATCGACCGTCGGATTGTTGTTGAGTGGTTGATAAAAGTAAAAACTATCGCTAGGTTTACAATTTTCCTTGAAGACGGATAATTGTCTCTAACAATAAGTGATTGATAAGTTTTGTCATGTCATAAAAGTAAATAATTATCGTTAGCTTTTTAGAGTTATTGTGCGCAACCGTCGCTGATGGATGCGATACTGAATAACGTTGAGCTTTTTAGTGGACAGCGGATCCGCTTCCACACTTTTATCGCTTTCAGGCCGCATTAGGAGCCGTTGATATTTTCCTGATTAGTATTTACGAGATGAAAAAATTTATTCGAACGCTTAAATTCTTAAAGAAAACATTCCGATAATTTCGCAGTGTCATCGAAAATCGCAACAACTAGATGTCTCCGAAAAAAAAGAATCGTGGAGTCTTCAGGACATAACATCTATTTCATAATAAATTTTCATAATAAATTATTTCATAATAAAATCAGACTTTGATTTTAATTGACCGAGGTATATTTTTGTGTATACATATATTACAAAAAACATTTGACTAGTTTCGGAAGTTTAACACAAGATCATTATTACTATTACTATTACTATCACTATTACTATTACTGTTATTATTATTATCATTATTATTATTATAACATTATTATTGTAAAAAGCCCTTATTATAATAGCTAATGCGATAATGATGCGTACTGGACTGTATTCATTGAATGGTATCTTGTATTCCCAACGTGGTACGAGTACGTATGGAGTGCGTATAAAGAGACGTTTTCGTTCATATCTGAAAAATGATTTTTCGGAAAGTGATTTAAATACACACCATTGTTTTCAGCGTAAAATGTTCTTTAATTTTCGTCATGTAGAAAATTAAAAATTTTTTTTTAATAAGAGTGGAGGGTAGGAGTATACAATAAATAAATACTTTAAAAAAATTTGTTCCATTATATTTATAAAGTATTCTTGCAACCATTCAATTTTCGTTCTAAAATTTTTTTCTATCTCTTATAGTTTCGAAGATATCTGCTTTAAAAGAAAAAAACCGATTTTTTTCAAGGAAGGATTTCACTCCCTTAACATGCAATTCAGCACGTATAAAAAAAATACGTGTCTTTTATTTTTGTCTATAGAACAACATACTAAAAGCTCATTTAAATCGGAGAGATACACTTGGTTGTGTCCCCTCGTTAGTGAACAAAATATAAAAGTCGGTTATTGAGATTTGATTTGAAATTTATGCTAGACCGTACAATAAAAAATAATTGCTTGTAATTTCAGAGTATCAATTTGTTAATGACTCAAAAAAGAACATGGCGGCCTGCTCTCAAACTTTGATGAGTTTCTCCATGTCTACTTAGAAATAACGTCGAAATTTTTACAGAGTAGATATAACAACACATGAAGTACAAAAAATATTGTATTATTAGAACCGTATCTTTAAAAGCTCTATAACGAAGTAAATACACAAAATTATGTAGAAGTGTAGCCTTTTTCTTCTTTGATTTTCAATTCTGCCAATTGATGTCCAGGTTAATGGCGAATATTTAAATTAATCATTATCGAAACACTGTTACATTTTGTACTTGCACTTTTTGTGAACCAAATGACAAACAATATATTTGATAACTATGATAGTTACTAGGCTGCTTTTAATCTAAACCATTTTTATAACTTTTACTTCAACTATTTATTTCATCCATCGGAAGTTTTTAGAGAGCAGGCCGCCATATTCTTTATTGAGTCATTAACAAATTGATACTCTGAAATTACAAGCAATTATTTTTTATTGTACGGTCTAGTATAAATTTCAAAATCTCAATAATGACTTTTACATTTTGTGCACTAAGAATAACATATTGCAGTTATTTTCTAGAAAACTGTAATATGTAAATTGTATAATCTGTTTTACTTATATGTATGTATGTTCATTTTGAATTTGCACCTTGAATAATCTATCAGTTATTTTTCGTGGTAACACATTATTAAACATAGAAAATGTACTTTATATGTGTTCACTTTGAACTGGCACATTTAATAATATATCAGTTACTTTTCGTGGTAATATATTATATCAGATAATATCATTTAAAGTGTTAAAGGTTTAAACTTTTGAGGATAATCATTTAAATTTTTTAGGTATTATTATTAAATCATTTAATTTTTAAAGATTTAAATATTATTATTAGATAATCATTTAGAGTTTTAGAGGTTTAAATTTTTGGGGATCTTTTTTTGATTAGATGAACATTTATGCCTGTTTCCATCAATGCAGATTAACTTTAATCTCGGTTTAACTTACTGTTCATCTTTTTTTTATTTTTAGAATTAGAAAAAGATGAAGAGCAAATTGAATCGAGATTAAAGCTAATCTGCATTGGTGGAAATGGGCATTAAAGATTTAAAAGTCTAAATTTTTGAGAGCATTCTTTTTTGAACATGGCTTGACCTTTTCATTTTTATGATATGATTTTTTTAGGATATCACTTACTTTTTATAGTCCTACTATTTTACATAACATTCTTTATTGTCATTATATACATCATTTAAATTTTAAAGTAAATAATCAAAAAGGAAAGGGGCCACGAGCCAAAGTAAACAACATAAATTCAAACGGTAAAAATAAAAATTATAAAAAAGAAAAATTATTTAAAACTTACGTAATTGTTTCAATGAGTGTACGTTAATTGGTTACCTACAATATAGTGCATGTTCGTTGCATCATATTTTAGGAAGTATTTGTAATTCGACATTCTTCAATTTGTCTCACAAAATTTTCAAAACTATCTGACAAAAGCGTATATTTTGTCATAGATTCATGGGTGACGGGTGGCTAAAACACTCTATGGATCGTCAAGCCATCGACATTGAATGCCGCGATACTCGTGTGGGCAGATAAGGCAGTCGCTTTTTTTAAATATATTCTGATGCAATGTTTAATCATTGCAATAGAAAAACTTTTCTCTGTACCACTCTCGCAACTTACGTACAGTCGCAGAATCTGACTTTTTATTTGGTAAAACTTGGCATACTCTATCGAAAACTGGTCTTCGTTCAATTACGATATTTTTTGCGATAAATCAATTGGAACGTCAATCTTACCAAAAATCTTCCAGATCTTTCATCGCGTTGTCAGCTTCTATCGGATTGCAATCCAGTTCATCGTCATCGGATTTGTCTCTGTCTGCTATTTTCATATCATTTCCGCGCTTCTCGATTAATTCGAACTGATATTTGATACGAACTACAAATACCTCATAAAATAAAATTAACGATAATTTTATTCTATCAACGATAGTTCTATACTACATAAATTACGGGTAAATAATCTTGTTTGAAACATATAATATTATATAATGAATTTATATAATAAAAACTCCTGTATAAATAAAATATAGATTCGGAGAGAATTGCATTAGGAGTCAGGCGCAGATAACTTTACGCAACTGCTAATGTATAACAAATATTCTTTATTACACTGAGAAAAGAAGGTTCTGAAATCGAGTACGTGTACTTACTCGATTTTTATTTTTTTAATTCAAGAAATAATTTTATCAATGTAAGAACAATTGACTTGCCCTTAGTAAATATTAACTTTAACACATTAACATTTTGATTATGTAAATAAAGTATTAATTATAAATAAATTATTTTTGACTCAAAATTATAATTACTTAATTTGAGTAATCAATACTTTTCATTTAAGCATCGCAACTAGAGAAGAAAGTTATTGGACACCAGTAAACATAATTATTTGAAGAACAAGTAATTATATATTTATATGATTCAAGTATATTTCCTTCTTCAGTTAAAATAATATTTACTCAACCGAACAGTGCAGATTTGACGCGAGTGCGTTATTGAAATGATAAGTATTGATTACCCAATTTAAGAAATTATAATCTTAAGTTCAGAATAAATGATTACTTAAACTGCGAAATTTGTTAAGTTGAAACAAAAAATTCGCTTTACTGCGTTGAAACAAACATGTACTACATTGGAAAAAAAAAAGGTTCCCAAATCGAGTAAATGTAATTACTCGTTTTTCATTTCTTAAATTCATAAAATAACTTTATCGATGTAAGAACAGTTTACTTGCCTTTAGTTAATATTAACTTAAACACAGTACATTTTGATCATGAAATAAAGTATTAATTATAAATAAATTATTCTGAACTCAAGATTATAATTACCAAAATTGAGTAATCAATACTTTCTATTTAAGAATCACACTAAGTTTCAGATTTTTCTGTTGAGTAAATATTGTTTCAACTGCAGAAGGAAATATACCTGTATCATATAAAAATAATTACTTTAAGTAATTATATATAATCGATTCAAGTAATTTTCTTCTCTAGTTTAAACAATCTTCATTCAATAGAAAAATCTAAATTTGAAACTACAATCCTTAAATAAAAAATGCTGACTATTCAATTTTAGAAATTATAATATTAAGTTCAAAATAAAAATGATTACTTAAACTGCGAAATTTGTTGAGTTAAAACAATTTACTTTACTATGATGAAATAAATTTTTGTTTAAATAAGCAAAATTCAGAAATTATACTACTTTCTTACACAGAAAAACTTTTGAAATTAATTAAATATTATTACTTGTTCTTTAAGTTCTAAAATTAAGATATAAATTCAGTTATTATTAATGTTCAATTTTTGTATTAATTTTTTTATATAGTTATGTTAATATATTAACGTTGATTCAATTTTTAATTTTAGATGTTCGACTCTTATTATCCTTTTACCTGTTTATTATATTTTAAAATAAATTAAACAGACCAATAAACATAATAGTCACTATCGATTCATCCAATGCAGTAACTCCTATTAATTAAATATTTAGATGTTATAGTACTTTTTAACAAAATTCTCTTTAATTTCGAATAATAAATCTGAGGACATTGGAAGTTACAAGTTCAATGAATAATAGTCAGATCACATTAACAACATCTATTGCAATTTTGCTTGATACATCAATAATTATTAAAGAGCAATCAGCAACATTTTCAAAAAGAAAGAGACAGTCTCTGAAGAAAATTGTCATATAATTACACAATTATTATAATAAATAAGTTTCGCTTGATATATATCAGCGTTTGCGTAAAGTTATCTGCGCTTAACTCCTAGTGCCCTTTTCTTTCCAAGTTTATATTTATTGAATGCCGAATGCCGCTCGAGCGACATTTGATCTGCGCGCGGAGCGGTGAGGTGAGAGGGACAGCGGAAGGCGGAGGCGATTCTAAAATCGGCCGAAAGTTACATACATTTATGTATGTTCACTTTGTACTGGCACCTTTAATTAATAATATATCAGTTACTTTTCATGATAATATATTATTATTAAGTAAAAAAGTTTAAATTTTTGAGTATCTTTTTTTGAACATGGCTTGATCTTTTCATTTTTATATGATTTTTTTTTAATATCACTTACTTTTTAGAGTACAAATATATCACAAATATATAAAAAAATGATTTTAAAATATTATATTATATAACGAAAGAAAATGAAATACGGCGAAAAAGAGGGGTGGTAGGACGGACAGACGGAGAGAGGAGACGTTTCATAATTTTTCATTAAAATCATCACTTTTCGACTGCTTATATGTCCAGAACGGTTTGATCGATTTACAATTTTTTTAGCTCAAATTACTCGTGGAGATGCCGCCTTTCAAGACATATAATATTCCATTCAAAATTATTTATATTTTATAAGTTATGCACCTCCTAAAAATGGACTTTGTTGGTTCGGGGTAAGAGACTTGTAGCGTCTATTATTAATCGTTCAAACTAACTTTAAATTAACTAGTAGTTTTTTGAACATAGCTGGAGACACTACCGCGTCTTCTGATACTGTAAATAAAATGTACCACATAATATTTTTTATATAAATATAATTCATTCTTTCAAAATTACATTTAAAATGTTCGAAGTAGATATAATACTATGTATAATGGTAAAATATTACATAAACTGTTGTATGCTAAACATTTCCACGTATTTGAATACTCCACGTATTTGATTTTACTTCAAAGCTTTGTACATGACTGCAAAATCGAATAGTATCCATATTGTACAATAAAAAATACATTTTTATTTTTATCAACAAATACTCAAACAGATATCAATTCAATTATTCCAAAAAGTGGAAATATATCTTTGTGAAAAATATTTAAAATAAAACCTGGCTTGTATGCCATATTTAAAATAAAACTTGACAGATACTTTAAAATCAAGCTCTTCAATGTGTTTATTTTGAGACTAATTAATCAATAAAAATAATTTTATATTAATTTTATATTATATTATGTTTTTTTCAAATTAATGGGCTCAAACGCTAATACTATTCAAATAGTTTTATACTACTTTCAATTACTTTTTGAATATATACAAGGTATCTTAGAATATTTTTGACTATTTTTAATAAAGTAGATAAAGCTGATTGAATAGCCAAGAAGTCATCACCATTTTACAATTTTTGCAATATTTATCCAATGAACATAATGTCTAAAATCAATGCATAAAACAACTTTAAGGTACAACTTTAAGAAACATCTTTAAGATATGTCACTCTGAAAAATATATTATAGTTAATTGTCATATGCATCGATTATAACCGCTTATATGGCAAACTTTAAAAAATAATATTGACTTTGTATCAGACCATTCTCTGTGTACTACGCTTAATAAAAATATTTTCTACCATAACAAATTATTTTGTTAAAATGACTAAAAGAACACTTATTTTGTAATGGCAATAAAATTTCGCAATGTTATTTACAAAACGTAAGTAAGCAAATAAATTTGTACTGCTAAATAAAAAAATTTACAAAATTTTGTTTAATTAACAAAACAGAAATTGTATTTTATTATTTTATAAAATAATTCAATGATAATCAGCTATTTGTAGATAATTCTTTTTTTTGTTAGCAATATTATATCTTTTTCTCAGTGTATAAATATTGCTGTTCCAAGTAATTTCGTTTAAATATAAAACGGTTTTATCGATTGAAATCAACATTTATTTGAGACAAAGAAATTTATTTATATTTAACATAAAAAGATTCGCATTCCAAAAAGTATTGCATTACAGTATCTGTATGTTTTCACGTAACTCTTAATTTTGTTGGTTTAAGTAGTGAATAGTAACCAATTATTTTGTTATATATTACACATATTCAGTTGCTTGTATTGAAAAAAATAATTTAGTTAGATGAAATTTCGCGTTTTAAAAAAAAAATTTTTTTCAGTACATATATATTAGGTGTGTCGGAAAGTTCCGTCTGATTTTATGCAAAAAGTATGACTTTATTTAAGAAACAAAATAAAAACGTACATCAATCAAAGTATTGGCCATCGTTAGATATAACTTTTTCCCATCTTTTTGGTAATAAGCGGATCTACGGCGAAAGAATGATTCAACTTTAGAGGCTATCCAGTTAGAAATCCATTTTTCGACGTTTTCATAAGCGTTGAAGTGTTCCTCTGCAAGTGCGTGTTCCATCGACCGAAACAAGTTGTAGTCGGAAGGGGCACAGTCTGGTGAATAAGCCGCATGGTGTAGCACTTCCCAGCGAAGTGCTCCTAACGTTTCCTTAAGGAGCTTTGTGACTTGAGATCGAGCGTTGTCATAAAGCAAGATCACTTTATGTTGTCTCGTTTCATGTTCTGGTCGTTTTTCGTGCTCGGCTCAAACGGATAATTTATTCTCGGTAGAGATCCCCTGTGACTGTTTGACCAGATTTCAACAGCTCATGATACACTACACCCTTCTGATCCCATCAAATACAGAGCATTGCCTTCTTTCCGTGGATATTCCGTGTCGATGTCGATGGTTGGCCTGGATCGCAAATGATTTTTCAGCGTTTGGGGTTATCGAAATAGATCCACTTTTCATCACCAATCACAATTCGGTGCAAAAATCCCTTTCTTTGTTGCCTAGCAAGCAGAATTTCACAGGTGGTTTTTCACCTTTTAATGTCTCTTGGCTTCAGTTCATATGGGACCCACTTTTCTTTCTTGTAGATCTTTTCCAAGGCTTTCAAACGATCGGATATAACAGATCGAGCACAATTTAATGTTTCTGCAAGTTGTTTTTGCGTTTGACATGGGTCTTCCTCCACCAATGCCTGCAATTCTTCGTCTTCTTTTGGCCGTCCAGAACACACTCTTTATCCTCCACATCAAAATCACCACTTTGAAAGCGTTGAAACCATTCTCTGCATGTTCTATCGGAAGTAGCACTATCACCATAAACTTCTACAAGCATTCTATGAGCTTCAGCTGCAGTTTTCTTCCATTTGAAGCAAAAGATTAACACTTCGCGTAAATGACGCTTATTTGGTTCAAATGTCGACATTTTCAATGCAGTAAAAAGCAATGTTATTGATGCAAACGTATACTTTTATATACTGAATTTTATTGACAGATGGTAAAACTAAAAAATTAAGCCTGATTTAGATATTAGAGTTATCGACAGTTCTATAGCTACTCGCCGCTAGATGAACGGAACTTTCCGACACACCTAATATGTACATATATGTCATACTGCTTGTCTTTGTATATGTCATACTTCTTTCTCTTAATCATATTAAATTTTTCGTATGTATCAGTATATGTATATGTATATTTGTATATGTTATACTTTTTTCTCTTCCCTCTTTTCTGTCCTTCTTATCCTTCCTTTCCTCTTTTAATCCTTTCTATACTCTTCTTCTTTTTTTTTTTTGAAGAATAATATAACATGCTTAGAAAAATTTTAAAAGCCTTTTTTTCTAATCCTTTCCTTTCTATATATATAACTGAAAATAAAATAAAATACCACACAAAAGAATCGATTTACAAATTACAAAGAATTAAAAAAAATAAATTAATAAAGGTTTTGAAACTTATCTGATTGTGAGACGATCTTGAAGAGCGAAGTCTTTATAAGAAAAATCTTTTGCATTGTTAACCTTAATACAACCTCATATTGTCAATCACATCTATCAACGGCAAAATCTTCGCGATGACAACCGCTCACGAAGTAAGCGATGCGAGAGAATCAGCACCGCGAAAAAGCGACAATAATACTTTGAGAAATGCGAGTTATCGACTTAACATTTCTTTTAGAAAGGATTCACTGATTATTGATTTGCGTACGAAGAAGCACGCCGCACTCTCATTTGCCCTAAATTACTGAAGTTTATGTAACAATATTATTTCTTTCATTTTTTTATAATAAGCGACTTTGTTTATTTGTTTTTAATCTTATTTTATTTATATTATATTTAAGAATAAATTTTACTTACTTTCTTTGGTTAGAATTTAGATCATACAAATGAATTCAACAAGTTCCTATCAAAAAGGCGGAATTGAAGAAAATTTGTATTGAAAATATATATTTTTAGAAATAAAGATATACAAGATTTCATAAGTAATAATATAAAGTAAAATTTATAAGTAAAAAAATAACAAAAATTACAGTGACGTTTCCATTCTGTCTTTAAAAGAACTTTTTTCATTAATTTTACTGTAAAAAATTATTATTTATACATATATAATATAGTGAATTATATGTAATATAATATAATATACACACGCACAGGCACACGCACACGCACACACACACACGTTTAATTGTATTAACGTTTATACTGTATAGAGTTTATACAAAATTATTTAAAGTAATAAACCGGCATAAAAATATACGCACAAATCAAGAAAAAACTTTATTTTATGTATAAAGCTTTATTTTTTAATAAATAAGTGTAAAAAGTTAACAATTTTACGACTGCATAATTATAAGCAAAGACATTATTATTTACATATGGAAGAACATTTACAGAATTTCCGAGTATTTTATGATAAATAATTTTTGCGAGTATATATTATAAACGATTTTTTTAATTTTAAATTTTCTTTTATTCCAAGAGCAAATTTGTCCTATATTGGCCTCTACTTAATTCTCTTACGTTACTCTTTTAATACTCATTATGATATAACTAAAATGGCCAATTAAAATGAAAAAACGAATAAGAGATAAAGTACAGGATAATATTATCATTTTGCGCATCTGCTATTAGAAAAGAGATAGATATTGAGAGAGAGAGAGAGAGAGAGAGAGAGAGAGAGAGAGAGAGAGAGAAAAGAAATCATTAAATAGAAAAAATGCTAGGTCATAATAATATTGAATCAACCATAAAAGAAATCAATCGTATTATTTAATAAATTTATCACACTAAGATTCTCGAATCTTTCTTTGGTCTCATCCAAGTACATTTCTGTGCTTTTAGTAAATTTTATACAGATATGTATATACAGTAATTATGTATATACAGTAATTTATACATAAAATATTCTATTTCAAGGACACTTTTGTCAGACTCTTAGATCCATAATAATAATTGATATATAGCGAATGCACAGCGTCGAAAATTAATATTACATACTCACACATCATTCGTTATCCGTAGTATCTTCAATGACAGAATCCCAATTAAATTCTGTGGCACTTTGCCTCAATGGCAATTCACCAAGGTGTTGGAATCGTTGTATGAAATGTGGATCACGATCTCTAAGCCGTTTAAATCTTTGAAAAGCAAGATTCTTTGCAAATTCGTAGAGTTCTAGGTCCAGGTTGTTGAGCTTACGTACGGCGTCTAATTGCTCTGTGTTGAGGGTTGCCATAGTGGCTGCACTAAGTGTGGCATTATGCTGCTCAAATGCAACAGCAAATCGCATTTTAAATGTTTCTTCGAAAGTATACTGCCCCACCTGAATATGAATAAAATAAAATTTACTGTTAGTACATGTAAAGTATAATTGTAATGTAAACAGCTTTTTAAATGTAATGTAAACAGCTTTAAATGTAATTCAAAACTATACGATATAAAAGAGTATAAAATTATAATAATAATTATTAACGTTGGCTTTTTACATCATGTAAATATCATATAAAATATAAGAGATGTAATTATGAATTTTAATAGATATTTACATAAGGTCATCTCTTTCATAAATCAATGACATTGACAAATATTGTCAAGGACATGTTGTGCAGCTATTTCACGGCACTGGGTACAGGATCCAGTGAGAATTCAGGAGATGAATAAATAGAAGATTTATTCTTTAAATAAAATTACTCGTTTAATTTTACTGAGTGAAGACTTTATTACAATTTACCTTATTCACTATAACACTATAACACTTCGTGTAAACGATTTATTATTTCGAACAATGGATGGGCAGAGTAACGCGCTACTTTTCGTTAAGCGATTGATCGTTGACCGCTCTGCATCTTGTGTTATATAATAATAATAATAATAATAACTTTATTGCGTATACTGTTAACATTATAAAGATAAGAATACAGTAATGTTGATATCACATATCAGTTACACCATAATAAGCTGGGCGACAGTTAAGCAGCTGATTTGAAGCCGTACCTGAATATCAGAATAAGTGATTTACAGAAATTAAAATTAGATTCAAGACGATTAATATTATAAATATATAAATACATAAACTAATGTATAGAACAATACAAAAGAGGTATAGCATACATTATTTGTACAGAACAATAAGAAAAAATGTACAAACAGTTGCTCTGATATTAAAACTTTGAGGCAATATCAGGAGACGCGGTAGTGTCTCCGGCCATGTTCAAAAACTGAAAGACACTACAAGTCTCTTATCCCGAGTCACCAAAGTCCATTTTTCGGGGGTGCATAACTACTAAAATATAAAAAAATTTTGAATCGAACGTTATGTGTCCTGAAAGGCGGCATCCCTACGAGTAATTTGAGCCAAAAAAATTTAAAAACGGTCAAGCCGTTCTGGAGATACAAGCGGTCGAAAAATGATGATTTTAATGAAAAATTAAGAAACGTCTCCTTGTTCTTCTTCTTCTTCTTTTCTTCCTCCTCCTTCTTCTTCTCCTTCTTCTCCTTCTTCTCCTTCTTCTCCTCCTTCTCCTCTTCTTCCTCTGCCCGCATTCAAGGCCGTATTAAAACTTTCTAACATCCCCTCTCACCTTTCACTCATACCTTCACTATCTTCGACCTACCGCCATCCCCTCCACTCCCCCTCCCCCTACCATCCCTCTCTTTCGCCGTATTTCACTCTTTTTCGTTATATAATATTTTTTAATCATTTTTTAATATATTTGTAACAATGCCCCCCTAAGGCTGGGTCCACAACCTCGCTTTAAGAGACCCTAAAACCAGAAACACATAGAAAAACGTAAGGCCGTAAGACGTAATCAATAAGGAAATCGTAACATTGAATTCGCTACCGGCCTTACGGTCTCTACTGTGATTGGCCAATTCGCTTACTGATTACGTTTTACGGCCTTACGTTTTTGTATGTGCCATGGGCTTAAGCCGTAAAGCCGTAAGAAATTGATCAATCATAGAGAATTATTTTTCTCGCATTCAACTATGATTGGTCAATTTCTTACGGCTTTACGGCTTACGGCCTCTTAAAGCCAGGTTGTGGACCCAGCCTAAAGAGCATCGTACCCAGCATCAACATCTAGCCGGATGCCGTCGCAGTGACTGATGGTCACTAGCGACGATGAGGGCGCGGTGCGCCCGATTATATTTTTAAGTTAATACAAACATAATTCACAGGAACAGCAGCAGCAGCCGTTAAACCGCCAGTCTCTTCGGAAAATTCCGGCCGTCACCGGGGACCACCGATCGGAGATCTTCTCCCACTAATATCGAGACCGACCAGAACAATACGAACGAGACTGGCGGCTTAGTATAAAATATCGCGTCGACAAGACATTGGGACCATTTTTGCCTATTTTCCAGCTCCTAGCAAACCGATCGCCAGCTACCCGCTCCTAGAACGATCCACTGCTCCGAGACCGTTTCTGAAACACGCTTGTTCTGACGAACCTGAGGGGTAGGGCGTACTCTGCCTCTGCCGGGCGTTCTCGGCCGCCGGACAACCGCTGTAACTGCTTCCACAAATTCTCCGTTTATTCTTCTCCATATCCCGTATTTTCCTTCCCGATAATTGACATACGAAAAGGGTAGGGCGCTCTCTGCCTTTGTCGGGCGTTCCCGGCCGTCAATTATCAATTTCCTTACGTCAATCATTTTTGAATTATGCGTCGCGCCGCGAAATCTTATTTGCTGGCGTGTACCCGCGTTCCACCGCGTTGTTAATCGCCACCCCGCAAGGCCCGCGCCGACAATTTTCGCGAATCAGCGAGCCGCCGAAAAAATCACGATGTCGCAGGACTGCCTAGCCGTACGCACGAATCCATCTTAAATCCCGCCGAACGCCGATTTCGCTCGACCCGATATCTGCTGACATCTCGTGATTCGTTTGTAAATACTCCGCGCAATTAGAATTAAGTAACGCTGTACGTCGTCTTGTCCGTCATTCTACTTTGTTCTGTATTTCTATTATTCACGTTCTGTTCATTATTATATCGTTTTCATTTTATCATATATTCTATTCTGTATTATATCGTTTCTATTTTATTTTATTTTTGTAATAAATCGTGTTTATTGTGCTCAATTTCATTTCTCATATTATTCCCTGCTAATTCTGTACCACGATCCGACGCGAATACTCCTCTTGCCGAACCTTTTTGTGCGACACGCACCGACGAGCTAAACCGCACATAAAAATCGGGTTGTTACATATTTGTGATATATTCTAAAAAGTAAGTGATGTCCGAAAAAAATTATACCATAAAAATGAAAAATTTAAGCCATGTTCAAAAAAGGATACTCAAAAATTGAAACCTTTTTATCTAATAATAATATATTACTACGAAAAATAACTGATATATTATTAATTAAAGGTGCCAGTACAAAGTGAACATACATAAAGTGTATGTAACTTTCGGCCGATTTTCGAATCGCCTCCGCCTTCCGCTGTCCCCCTCACCTCACCGTTCCGCGCGTAGATCAAATGTTGCTCGAGCGTCGTACAGCATTTGGACTGCGCGCGATGAAGTGAGGGTTACATTTAAGATAATTTGGTTGACTCATTTGAAAGATAATCCATTACGTTGGCGACATATAATCTATCTTTATTTATTAAATTATTTATTAAATTATTAATTAATTTCTATGTACAGCTGTACATTTCTCGACTAGAGAATTCAAATAGAGTTCTAGCATCGTAAACCGAGGGTTTTTAAAAGATCATAATCTTCTTTCTCTAACGCCACATGAAGCACTTTCTCTCGTTTCCACGACTTCATGTAGCACCAAATGTTGAATGCTGATACACCACACAGTAAAAAAAAGTTCTGTATGATAAATACCATGTGAGTTGGAACAAAAGGTTTTAGTATAGACATAATAAATATACTTATCTAAAAACGGTAATAATAACGATAACAATAAAAATAAATTGCTTATATAATATTTTAATATATTACATACCTTCTGGTATTCAGTCAGCATAAAGAAAGGCATAAATTGTAAGTTGTGTTTAGCGCTGGCCAATATTAGACGGTCTCTATCAGTTTTGCTGAGAGTGGAATTATAACAGCCAACTATTGATAGATCTGCCAGCATTCTCGTTTGACGATTTTTTGCCAAATTGTAAGGACATTCCATAAACTGGACAAATATAAAGAATATTTCATTATTAAGTCAAATCTCCTAAACTGTATAAATGTTTATATTCTTCATCTCTTATCTATTGCATCGAATTAATTTACTACCTTTGCTTATACAAACAATTTACAAGTACAATGCGTTTATTATAGAAAAGGGCACACAGAAAGAGAGTAATCTGATAGGAAACAACCGCGTATAAAATGAAAAAAAGTACTGTAAGAAATTTAGAGGCAATAGATTAGAGACAACAGAGAAATGATCAGAGTCAGAGCTGTGTGGTTCAGTGGTTAAAACAAAATTTATATCTTAAGATATTTGTAGATAAAACTGTATGTGATATAAAATAGTATAATTAATAAGAGTCAACATCAAAAAATAAAATAACCTATGTATTAAACTTTTACATTGGTATAAAGGCATATAGAGTCATAATGTTAGTTGTAATTTAACAATACTTATTAAATCTAATTCGTAATCAAATGATCACATCGTGATTATACCAATGTAAAAGTTTAAATACATAGGTTATTTTATTTTTTGATTTGCGAGAGTCGTTAACTTGATATTATTTCAATATTTAAAGTTTTTTAAACTATTAATAAGAGTCAATATAAGATAAAATCAGAAGATATTACCTCCTTTAAAGTAACACCTTTCCAATTGGAACCATCGTAACACTGGGGTATATTTGCTTGAGTACCTCCGCACCAATGACGAGCACCTCTCCATGTAGCACCTCTTTGCACGTGCCTAAATTCGGAGAGATATCTTGCAACGGGATCTCTTATGATAGTTAAGTAGAAGTATCGGCGCTTAATGTCATCTCCTTCAATTTTATTGAGTTCCGTATCCACACAGTTTGTCAATTCTGTCCAATCCGCATGTAATCCACACTTCCAGCCGGTAGAATATCGTGAGAATAACCAATTTTCGTTATGATTTGGACGGAAACAAAAGCAACGTTTGCGTCGTCGTTGACATGAGCACGGTCTTTGTAATTCTAAATCTCGCACCAGATGTTTGCCAAATAATGTACCACCTTTGAACAAAACAAAAAGGATAACAGACATCTTGAATGCAATTAAATATGCAAAATTATTGTCAAATTCAATTTTACAATTATTTACGGTAAAATTACAATAAAATAGTAATTTATTGGAAATTTTGATAAAATTTGTTGTTTTTTATAGTTTTATGCATAAATAGACTGTATTTTCGTACTTATGTATAATTAAATTAAAAATTATACTATCATTCAATATTTCTAATAGTAATCGGCTTAATATTATTCTATATTTTTACTAAGTATTCTGACATTTTTGGCAATAGTGCAGCAATTACAAGAAATTAATTTTATTTTTCATATATATTATAATATAATATATTTTTGTTTAATACATACAGGGTGTAACCGAAATAACGCTCACTATTATACATAGCGCTATTTCTGATCAAAAACTGAATCGAAAAGTCCTGAGCTACTTGTTTCTACGATGCTTAATGTAGTAAATTTTACCAAATAAAGTTAATCCAATCGTCTTTCTCTAATGTCTCTAATATTTTAAACTATAAGGGAGAATGTCCTAAATCAGATCATGTTTCAAATCAAATCTTTTTAATTTAAATAAATAATAGTTAAGCAGATTTGCGTGCTATTTATAATGTAAAGTCTTCATAAGACATCGAACATGTGACAGCAGTTTGGCAGTACTCTATCATAAAATAGCAAATATGTATTTTCGGCTATCACGCAAAAATTTTTTTAAAAAGAAAATCCTTGTAAATTATTATTTAAAAGATGTTAAAAATTTGAGCGATAATTGATTTAGGATAATTAAAGAGTGTAGAATTCAAAAATATCAAGAGTTTTCTGATTACCTTTGCGGTTTATTGTAAAATTTGTTTCAATAGTTTGAAAGAATCCGTATCCAAATTGGACTTCTCTTTGGGTGTCCAAATCGGAGACGTCTGTTAAGCTGGACCCCCCCACCATCGAAAATCAAGTTCGCAATAGGTCAAAAATTTAGTGCTTTTTAGGTGCTAATTTAGTATTCTATTGCCAATTTTAGTGCTCCACCTGTTTAGCGGGAACAAAAAAAAAGAGGGAGTCCAGCTTAACGGCAAACTGGAGTCTGGACCCCTCCACAATAGAAAATTAAAGGAAATAAAAAAATAACCACACAGGAATTTTAGTGCTAATTTAGTGCTCTAAAAAATATAAACAAAAAATATATCCAAATATATTGAAATATTCTAAAAAAAACGTTATTTTAAATGTACCAACGTCTACAGAAAACTCCATCACTGGTACCTAGATTACAATCGTCAAGGAATTTAAAGCTCGCAAGTTATTGGTCCCAAATATTCCTTAGACATTGTAGTACCAGAAAAAATACATATCGGAATTTAGTGCTCGCTCTAAGTAAAAATCATTAGCACGTCTAGCTTGATTCTCATAATTTTCCCATATTTATACAAATTTTAATAAATCTTTAATATTATTTAAATTTATTATATTTATCTTTTCTCCTTGGTCATTGTCCTCTCTATATTGCTGTATCTTATATTGTAAATAACAAGCCTGCCTTACACTTGAATTATTTACAACACTTAAAATTTATTTTCAATAAACATGACTATTTGGAACACGTACCTGTTTTTTGTATGTGAAGGAAGATCATAACGTCGTGAGCGTTGATATCAAACTGAAAGGTGTCATTGGCAAAGATGTCATCATAGCCTAGACTACCTTGGATACTCTGTAGCTTAAAGGAAGGATGCACCGAGAGTAGACCGTTTCTATCGAGCTCTATGGAAACTGAAGACAGTGCGGCAGAACCAGCGGCAGGTGACCCAGGGACGATGGACAGACTTTCTGTTAGCCCAATAGAGTCCCTGATCTCGCGGTTCGTTAAAGCACACACATGATCCGGGCAGAAGTAGCCTAGGTAAATGATCCCAGTCAACGCGAGGAACAGGCATATCCCGACGATGCTACGCAGACGATTCTTGCGTGGGTGCCGCGATTCCATTCTCATCGCGGACCACCCGTCGTATATATTCCCTTTCCCCTCCCCCTCGTCTCCCTTTTCACACCCCTGTTTCTCCGACACGACGAGCACTTCCAGCTCACTAGTAGTAGCGTCTACCTCTGCATCGACATCCATTCGTCTGCCCATTATTATCGTCACCCATGTTTCACGTTGCTAGACACTAGCAACTTCACCAGTTCTCAATGAACTGTTGAGTACCACCGCTGACATTTACCACCGCACACTGACACGATCCGGCTGTAAATACACACGAGTGTATCAGCCATGACAAAAAAAAATAAAAAATTTTGCTTACACCACTCAACGAGGATCGATGAAAGTTCATCTATCAAGAAATATGGCTAGACATCACATGTATTTCACTGGTACAGGGGAATAATTGAAAAATACATTCTACTTTGATAATAATCGCGTACTTAAAACTTATTGAACAAAACTTGTCGCACTTATGGCACACGACGGAATCGTCACGAACAGGCACAGTCATAGACTACATCATAAACACCGCCTATAAACTCCCGTACGTTTCTCGGGATTAGCGTTTATAGCGCCCCCGCTGCGACACAGTTTACAAAATGGAACTAATTATTAAAAACTATCGGTAAAATCAATGGAATGTAATATGGCTGTTTACCCGTAGACACGTGACTGCGCTCGCAGTATTCAAGCATGATAGTATTTATATCATGTATTCAAGTATTTCGGTATTTTACGCCATACTCCATAGTATGTACGTGATATTACGCAGCTACATGTAGCAACGTGCAAGAAGACACAAGAAGATTGCAAAGTATTGGAAAGGTATGTTTTATTTGCGATTCCGTTTGTGGGAGATACATTGTTGCCCCTGTTACGAGTTAATTATAATATATTGTATAACTGTACACAAATAAAAATGTATAATTGATACAAATTAAATAACTCTTCTGCTTGGAGATTCACATTTATTATATCATAATTAATAATTAGAATTACATCAATTAGCAAATAATCTATTTGTCAAATCAACAAATATAATATTAATAGATATATTCACTATTAGATACATCATCTATATAATAAATATTTAGAACAATTGAATTAAATTCCATACATAATATCACAAAATAGTAGGGTTGGGTAAGTTATTTTTTTTTTTTAACTAAATTAAGTTAAAGTTAACAACCTTAAAAATTTAACTTAGTTAAGATACAAGTTAATGTATAATGAAATTAATTGAATTAAAAGTTAAGTTAATAAAAAAATGTAATTGAAAAGTTAAAAATTCATTTTTTTCATGATTTCAGGATTTCAGTCTTAATAATAACGGAAGTGACAATAAAAGAAACTATTTAGATTTTAGAACATATCCAAAATTTTTATATTAATTTTTTTTATAATAATATATATCTCTTATAATAATATGTTTTGTTTCTATATATATATACTCGGTTTTATATATAGATATATAGTATATTCTATTATTAATGACAACACTCATTGCGTTTTTGCACAAACTCTTATTATTAGAACCGAATAAATGTAGCAGCAAACTACAAATGACTACAAGCTATTGCAAGCTGCAAGTCCTGCAAGTTAGAACCAGTGATGCAAACTCGTGTCCGCTTGCGGACAATAAAGAGTCTCTATACTTGCAGGACATCAACAGTGTCATTCATCAATACGGAACAGACTGGCGTAATAACACATAACTAATGATGCGAATATCTGTATATAATACTTATAACACGCGATCAGTACTACCGAAGGCGCTGATCACGTGCTGCAAGCCGGCCGGAATTCGTATCTTTGATTACGTGTGGCTCGTATTGGGTCTGACACTTAACTTTAAAAAAATTAATAAAAAGTTATTAGTTACTGATAAAATGTAACTAAAAAAAGTTAAAAAGTTAGGAGTCTGAAATGTAACTAAGTTAAGTTAAAATTAATTAACTTTTTAACTTAACTTTTAACTTTTTAATTTAGCACTACCCAACCCTGCAAAATAGACATACTAGCCATAAAAATATCATTATTAGATACATTCATTATTAAATACATCTATATAATAAATATTTAGAATAATTGAATTAAATTCCATACATAATATCACAAAATAGACATATTAGTCATAAAAACATCATCTGGAAGTTTTCACATAAAACTTGTAGAGTAAAATACAATTTGTATATATATATATATATATATATATATATATATAATGACACACATAAATAGTAATATAATTATTGTAAAAGTATTTGAAATACAATGTCAAGCTTTAGCATTAATATATCTATGTCATACTTATTAACGAGATCTACCTAAAATACACTTGAAGGTTTCCAGAATTTGAGGATCTCTGTATGCTATCAAACCTGCACGATTGGAGAAATTGGTGCCAATAGGTAAATAGTTCACACTTAGATTATCCGAATCTGGATTTATAATAAATTCTTTGAATTCGATAATACTTCCACCAATCGAAGATAGGAGAGCTTGTGGTCCGCATGTGTCCCATTTATATGTGGAACCTTTTGACAAGATATAAGCAGCCGCTTGTCCAATAGCGACGCTTAGTATTTTGTATCCTGCTCCTGTTGCTTCTACCAATCTGAATCCACTATTTAATAATTTTGATTTTACATCTGCATCTTCAAAGTGGCTAAGTAAAATAATTTTATCGATGTTGCATGTATTATTTATGGAAGATTTCGCAACGCCACCACTCAGAAAGCCCCAATAACATTTTCCTGTCCATCTGTTCAATTAATACAAAATATAATAAAGTGTAAAACATAAAAAAAAGTTTATATTTGGTTAAATGTATTTTTTTAATAATTCTAATATGAAACAGAAGCCTATTTTGCAGAGTTCAACAAATCGTATTTTTTGGAGGGGTTAAAAATGGCAGGGATGTTGGGAAAAGTATATTTTCCTAAAAGGGGATTTCGTTAAAAAATAAAAATATTTTTTGAGAAAAACTTGCCTTTTCATTACTAACATGGGTATTTATTGATTTGCCCTCGTAAATTTAGAATTATTAAAATTTTAAAAACAATTAAAATAATGATATTAAAATTACGGTATTAAAACAAGCCAACAAATTAAATGATGACAATTTTTATTAAAATATTCTATAATTAAATTGAGAAACGTTTCAACTTATACATAAGTCCTCTTCAGTCTCCTTTATAAATGATACATGACAAAATAAACGAAGTACGGTTAATCTTTCAAACTATAGTCCATCGAGTCAGCAAGTAAAATGAATACTGTTTCTCAATCCGAACAAAGAAAATTATCCGCATCGTAATTCTAAATCCATATTATTATATATTAGGAAACAATTTTAAAATTATAAATTAAAATGGAACTATTAAACTTACGGCAAATTAGATGCTATGTATAATTTTCATCCTTCAAGTGAAACAATGTAAAGTGGAAAATGGTCTGTACTGAACGACAGTTGTCACAAGAATAAAAGAAAACAAACTTAAGCTTAAACAAAGATATATTTACCATAGGAATTAGAAGCATCAATAAACTTAATAAAATTATTAAAGTTCATAAAGACAGCTATAGTTTGAACTATAGTTTCAACTATAGTTTCAACTATAGTTTGAAAGATTAACCGTACTTCGTTTATTTTGTCATGTATCATTTATAAAGGAGACTGAAGAGGACTTATGTATAAGTTGAAACGTTTCTCAATTTAATTATAGAATATTTTAATAAAAATTGTCATCATTTAATTTGTTGGCTTGTTTTAATACCGTAATTTTAATATCATTATTTTAGTTGTTTTTAAAACATAACAAGCGTTGTCTTTGTAATTACATTTTTATTTGTTTATAAATATTAAAATTTTAGATTATGTTGAAAGTACAAAAGTAATCAGCATGCAGTCATATTTCTGAGATAAATTTATTTAAAAAAAAAAAACATGTATATGTTAGTTTAACATTTATAACTTTAATAGAAAGTGGGGTGTTTTTCATATTCATATGATGTTCTCAAATAAAGATTTTATTTCTAAATCTTACTGTTTTTATTCTATATACTTACTGTGAGTCTATATTGGTGCAAAAAGGTTGATTAATTACACCCAAAACTGGTACTCCAGTACTTTTTTTGTAAACTCCAATTAAGACAGTAACACAACGTAACCCACTCAAATGTAAACCGGTCTGTTCATCTACTGTTTCCATTGCACTTATGTAATCTGCTGTTGAATCTACAAAAGTTCCACGAATTGCTCCACAGGTATACATTTTATCAAACTAAAACGAACAGAAATTCTTACAAGCGTTGTGTCTCAGTTTACAGGCCAATTATGATTCTTAACAAGAGAGACAGAGCTTTATGCTTTACCATAATACTGTCCAACTTTTGTATTTTTTTCAGTCTTGCCCTGAATTAATGTAAATTTACTAAATATCAATGGAATATAATAATCTAAAATTACGGTTCTTGCTTGTATATTTACCAATGGGATCTATCCAAATACCAAGGTCTTCTATATTGACGTCAAAATCATTAGGAATGTCTAATGTGATTGGCACATCTGAAAGTTGAACATCTTTATGGACTTCAGCAGCAAGCAACTCTGCTGCTACAACATCATTGCTCATAACTTTTGTCAATAGCTGTGTGGTATCTTTACTATCTGAACAGATCTCAACAATAACAGATTCTCCCAAAATATTGCTGAACACATTGGTTTCTTCACCTTGTACTAACTTAGCCAACTCTGGAAACTGTTTATGGCAATAAATTAAAAGTTTGATATGTTGGAAATAAGTTGTGATATTTTAAGATATTTTTCCAATTTTGAACTCCTATATTTAAGATCCATTAATACTCACTTCAATTTCTATGTCATGTCTGATACTTTCTTGAATGAGAACATCAGCTAACGTCTTGAAATCCTGGAAAAAACGAGGATTTTTCTCTTCTGAGGATTTTTCTTGTACTAACAACTGAAAAAGAGCTTCTTTCTGCCGGCAAATTCTAGCAATGTTTGCTGCCTTCTCTGAAGCTTGTAAGAGAACTTTTAACAATTTGCTGCCGTTCTTCATTTTCTTTTTTTCTAAGAGACACGATACGTTTGCTAAAAAAAAAACTACAATTATTTTTACATTATTATTGTATACATGTATTAAAAAAGGAAGAATATACTGTGTGACATAAGAAATCTTATAAGCTCTATTGGATGTGTATGTATGCGTAAAAATTAAAGATATTGATTTTTTCTATAAATATAGCATAAGCATCCTTGTGCATTAAACAATATCAATAATTACTTCAAAATAGTGTCAATCAAAACATTAATAATTTCATTCCATTACAAAAAGATGATTACAGCCACAGAAAAAATATCAAACCAGTTATAAATGCAGATGTATTTTATAAAGCGCGATTTAAAATTTTAATTATAATAGAGAAAATTGTACAAAATATAAAAATATTCTTCTGTAAATATTTACAAATTAGAAAATTGTATAGAAGTTTTTTTCAAGGATGCGTTCCGAATTACGCATGAAGTACACAAAAAGTATCTATTCATTCTTTTTATTCTTTGGTAAACAATGAGAACAAATGATGCATATGCTTTGTACATAATTCGAAACGCACCCTAAAAAATTATGTGTGTGTGTGTGTTATATCACATGTCAACTGTAGTCAAATAATGTTAGTAAGATAAAATAAAAAAATAGTGAATATTTACCTAAGTTTAGTACAAGCGACGCGTGAAAAAAGATTTATATACAGTATAGATTGTGTAGAATGAAGGCCATACGCAAATATCAACATTAACTAACAGACAGAAACAGACAGAAAACAAAGAGAAATCTAAGAGTGGCCATGGTATAAATACAAGGATATGCTTTTGCGCATGGTAACATTGATAACGCACACCAACCAATGAGGCTGGAGTCCCATGAGGCGTATATGGGCGCATTCAGCAGAAAAGATCGCTACTAGAGCGCTCGCTGTTATTGGTGTATATTTCTAGATCATACAATCAGAATTTTAGATCTGGAAGAATATACCAATAACAGCGAGCGCTCTAGTAGCGCTCTTTTCTGCTGAATGCGCCCAATGTCGCGTATCGCGTAACCGCATCGGAATTCAGTCAATCAAGACAAAGCAGCTTTATCTTGATTGGCTGAATTCCGATGCGCGATCCGCAATCTCAATCCAATTCGCGTCCACAGTTCGTAGTGTGAACTGTGACGGGCTTTAGTCAGACGGAATCAAATTTTGGTATATTTTTAACATTTTCTCAGCATTCAGGTTGTCAGTAAAGAGATAAAGCCTGCTTCGAAACGAGACGAGTAGGTAATTCATTTTGAAAATCGTGTATTCCCCAACATAAGTTTATTCCAATTCAAACTACAACGGCAAGCAAATTATTTTGCTTATAATGCATGCAGCACAAAAGTGACACCTATCGGTGAAAACAAAAGTTCAGAGTATATCTTTCATGAAGGAAGATATAAGGAGACTCCACTCAGTCTCGCCAGTTTACAAAACATGGACCCATTTTAGGTTTCGAGTTCAGTTTCCGATTCTCGACACTCGCAGCGCTCGTGAATTTAGTAGTGTAGAGATCCTATAATAAGAGTTTGGCCAAAGCGGGCCCAACTTCTGATTGGTTCTCTACCTTGGTCCATTCGGCATTTTTCGGATAGCTTTGTACATTGTCGGAAAACGAGTTCGGAGAATAGAAAGAGACAGATAGCGTAATACGAGAAAGAAAGCAATATCTGTTATCTCCTTCTATCCGCCATCTTTGGTCCGCTTTGGCCAAACTCTTAGGCATGAAGGAAGATATAAGGAGACTGCACTCGGTCTCGCCAGTCTACAAGACATGAACCCATTTTAGGTTTCGAGTTCCGTTTCCGATTCTCGACACTCGCAGCGCTCGTGAATTTAGTAGTGCTGCGCATAATGAGTGCGAGTAAGAGAAATGATCATTTCTCTTACTCGCACTCATCAGAATCGGAAGCTGAACTCGAAACCTAAAATGGGTCCACTTTTATTTTACGGAGTGGAGTCTCCTTATATCTTACTTCCTGCTCTTAGGCCTATCGCACATGAAATGCATAACTGTGCATAAGCATAACATAAGGCCGCTGGACCAATGAGCATCTTATGTTAATCGATATGGCGTCTTTATGCTGGATGCTCATTGGTCCAGCGGCCTCATGTTATGCTTATGCACAGTTATGCATTTCATGTGCGATAGGCCTTAAGCGGGGAGCAGACTTTTGCATAACGCATAAAGCATGTGCATAAGGAATTTCATTGGCCCATTTTCTTATGCATGAGTCAATGGACCAATCAAATTCTTTATGTATATGGTTTATGCGTTATGCAAAAGCTGTGCTCCCCGCTTTATTATAGGATCTCTATAGTAGTGCTGCGCATAATGAGTGCGAGTAAGAGAAATGATCAGTTCTCTTACTTGCACTCAACGACATATATACATAGACCGAGCATTCCCATGCTTTTTAGTGGTGGGGGTTGAAGCCGGAAATTGACAGTTTAAGTAGACCCGTGTTATCTCACTTTATCCATATATGTAATACTACTATATGGCTAGTGCCTATAAGAGGGAGTGAGAGGAAGCGGTCCCAGAACCACGGTGCGGGAATATATATTTCCCTCTCTTTCTAAGAGTACTTTGAGTGTTGTGTGCATGCGTTAGATTGATTGCATCCGCCAATAGGAAAATAGAATGCGATCAGTGAGATGACGCGAACAGGTTATGCTCGTTATGCTTATTAGATATGTGCTGTTGTACACAGGCAAAAATGGTCAAGATATGTTATTTATGTGGTAAAAAGCCTAATGCGCCTAATGCGACTGAAAACATTAGTTTGCATAGGTATGAAATAGGTATTAGTTTGCACTGATTATCATGAAATTTCTGTAAGGGATTGCACTGTATTCTTATATACATAACGGCAATCTTGAAAAAGTTTATTTCATAAAATTAGGATTAATTTATTTATTCCGACTAAACTGACTCTGTTAACTGTAACAAGGTTATACCCTGAAGCGGAATCAATCACTTTTTCCTTCTTCCTTACACATATATGTATATTTATCCTTCTATTTATTATTGATGGAGGGGATGATCCGACGCATGCGCACAACGTTCAAAGTACGCTGAGAAAGAGAGAGAAGTATATTCCCGCACCGTGGTTCTGGGACATGGACTTCTCTCTCATCTAGCCATATAGTAGTATTACATATATGACTTTATCTCGCGGTATATTCAGTTATATTCTTTCCAACCAACCTTCTTGAACCGTTGGTCTACACTTTCTGCGACTAGTGTTGTCAAGAGCACATAACCTTTCTCATATTTTATTGTTGATTCCGTTTTGATCCCAGAGAGAAACACGAAAATAACGAAAAAATGTTGTTCACTGAGCAAATTTAGAAGAATGTTATATAAATGATGCATTGGTTAGGTTATAGGTTGAGATAAATGTATCACTCGATTATATTAATATAAATTTTACTATCATTAGTTAAATATAATTAGGTTTGTATAATAATTAATTGAATAAATTTGATATATTTTCAACATTATTTAAAAATAAAATAATTTTATCTCATATGTGTATGATCGCACTTTCTGACCTGTTTATTTTACACTTGCGATTGTCAAGAGCGCTTCTCTTTCTCTCTCAAAGTAGAAAGAGATGCAACGGGTCTAGTTAAACTGCCAACTTCCGGCTTCAAGCTAAGAACAGAATGCTCGATCTATGTATATATGTCGTTGCTTGCACTCATTAGAATCAGAAACTGAACTCGAAACCTAAAATGGGTTCACTTTTATTTTACGGAGTGGAGTCTCCTTATATCTTACGTCGTGGAGCGTTGCGAGCGTCAAGTGGAACGCACCTCTAGTAGTGAAGAAACAGTAGGTGTCGCTAATGAAATCGACCCAAAATGTACAAATCAAATTTATTTATGTTAATAAATTTATTTTCTGTTAACGAACACAAATAAATGTATAAATGTTATTTTTTGGTAACTTATTTTTTTCAAGGGGCCCGAAAATTCTTAGCGCTTTAGGCCCAAAAGTTTCTTAATCCGGCGCCGCCTCACAGGAGGAACTAAAAAATGTTTTACAGCAACGGGAATCACATTAAGATTCAAACTATATCTTTCCATTTATTAAATGTTTATTTCACACTTTCACAATGAACCGCACTATACTAGTTCTGACTTTGTCGTTTCGGTCTTTTAAGTTTGAGTTTCGGATACGCCAGGCGATCGGACGCTCTGAGTCACCCTTCGACAATTGCCTGAGAGTGTCGTATACATCTTGAGTCTTACTTCATTTCAAGATTTAAAACCTTTCTAACTTTAATTCTAAATTTAGTAGCAGTGGCGAGTTTGATATATTAGGTTGTTCGGAAAATATGTTTCAAATTTTCTAGTTTAAAATAGTATTCACCAATCAGTTAGCAAATAATTTTCCGTTTCTTCTGCTTCAAATATTCATCCAATATTGACAATTTAACGAAATTATTTTTTGCGTTTCATTATACAGTATTTTCACTGTGTACAATTTTTTATGTTATATCTTAAATTTTATATATAAAGCCAAAAAATGTGTGTATAAAGAAAGCAAACATGACAGAAATTGCGGCTAATTTCATTTTATATGAACATGCTTGCTTTTTTATATATTTGGTAATATTTATTGATGTTTATTATAATTTTTTAACACATATATGATTTAGTTTCGAAAGTTTCTTACTCTTAAACTCTTATTTGCCTTTAAAGTGATACAAGTATATTTGTATATTTTTTAAAAATAGTATATTATACATTTAAAAAATTAGGGATTATACTATTTGATAGAGCAAAGTTTTAGCTTTAAGAATCTGATTTCTTAATTGCGGTACGATGATTTTCAATGGAGTTATAAGTAATTAAAATCAAAATGTTTCTTTACTTTAACTCGCAACTTATTGTTAGAATCAAAAAATCATAGGAACATTGTTAAAAAACGATTTTAAAACAAACTTTCCGAACAACCTAATATTATTCAAAGCATTTACAGCGCGCTAGGATTTTTTAGTATCATTTGATACGTGTATCTTTGTCTGATACTCGCAATTTGGAAGTATCAAATTGAAGTTATCCTCTATAATGTTTATATCGAGCGTATCAAGTGATTAGTACGGATACGATAGGTATACTTAATTGCTAGATGTAAAGTGCTCGGTGTAAACTAGATCATTGGCTTCTGCACAATAGACATGGAAATGCTTGTCATGTGGCAAGATGCGACGCGATAACTAATGAACATATTAGAAATTGTAAATTTATTAGCTACTGCATTACAGTTTGTTTCGCGGTAAAGGTATAGCAGGTAACAGATTCTTGCATAAATCCGGATCTTCAATAGGTTTTAATCTAAGAGATTTCAATCTGTCAGAAAGCGTCTATATTTTATTGTACATGGTTTCTGATAGATTAAAATTTGTGCTTTATTTTATGCAAGAGTTTATGCTCTGTCTATGGCCGATATTCATAGTCGGTTCTTATTTCAAGACTGTCTTAAGTAATGTCTTAAGATGCTAAAGCGGCCCTCTGATTGGTTCGTAACTCCTCAAGACTGAACTTAAGACGGTCTTGAATATAAGAACTGACTATGAATACCGGCCTATATTCACACAAATTTGCATAACCGCATGAACGTAGGTATAAAGAAAATTATCCAATCACATTTTATGTGCAACTTTATAAGAGAAATGCAATTGGACAATTTTCTAAATGCATATGTTTATGTTTGTGTGGATATGCACTAAGTGTGTATAAAATAATCAACCAATTAGAATCCTTCATTTCCTTCCAGTTCATGTGTGAAAAAGAGAACTTTGATTGGTTGATTTTCTTATGCACTCTGCGTTATGCGCGATTATACAAAAGTTTATGTTGCGGCTTTAAGCAGAAAGCAGAGACTCTTGTATAAATTCGGATCTACAAAATAGGTTTTTAAGCTTTAAGTCATAAGAAATGGACGAATCTCACAGTCAATCTCCTTACATTCAACTAATTGCTCAATTTCTTACGGATCAAAGATAAAACATCTACTCGTATTGTAAATCCGAACTAAAACATAACACATAAGACATAATAAATTCAACCAATTAGAGTTCCTTATTTAATGGAAAGGAAGGAAACAAAAAACTTCGATTTATTTTCTTATGCATTATGCAAGAATCTGATGCTCCTCTTAAGCATTTCCGCGTTCAGTGTGTAGAAGCCAATTAAGAACACTGAAAGCATTTGCATGTTTTGATTTGTAAATTTGTGTTCATATTCTGAATTAGGGGATTTGCGTAATACGTATTATACCTCACGTTTAGCGCCAAATGCGATCAATTCGAAAGTAATTTGTCTTTTAATAAAAATATCACATATAATATTATTTATATATACATAAATATATATAGCAGTAACGTGGGATTTAATTATTAAGAGCGTCATCGATCACATTTCGATTAATCAAAATTACAACTCGTCAATATTTTATTAATATAAACTATTAATTTTTTTATTGCTTGATATATAAGAAATAAAGGGGATTCAGAGACAACGAATCAGAGACGCTGGCTCTTTAAATAAGCATTTTAAAACACATCAATGCATAATTTTAAGAGTTGAAAATTGATTCCATTAAATATATTATTACAATTTTTTATTCGTATAATTCAATTCGCGTTGATCAATTTTTTGCTTAGAAATGATTTATTTAAATTTGTTCATATTTTTTTTAAGAGAAGACTTCATGATTAAATATACATTGTAAATAGCGCAGTTAATTTCTACAACGATTATTGGGAATCAAGCACGATGTTGAATTTCGATAGACATAATCATTGATCGACGACGCAGGGAGGAAACATTAAAATTTGTATTTTGAACGCAACGATAATAACATTTTTAACAATATGACATCACAAATTGACAGGGTTGGGTTAGTTACTTTTTTTTTAAACTAAGTAAGTTAAAGTTAACAACCTTGAAAATTTAACTTATAATTAAGATACAAGTTAATGTATAATGAAATTAATTGAATTAAAAGTTAAGTTAATAAAAAAATATAATTGAAAAGTTAAAAATTTATTTTTTTCATAATTTTAGGATTTCAGTCTTAAATAACGGTAGTGACAATAAAAAAAAAACTATTTATATTTTAGAACATATCCAAAATTTTATTATATTAATTTTTTTTAATAATATAAACACTCTTTATGTACATATATTCTATTATCAATGTCAACACTCATTGCACAAAACTTCAAACTCTTATTATTAGAACCGAATAAATGCAGCAGCAAACTACAAAGTGACTACTGCAAGCTGCAAGTCTTACAAGTTAAAACCAACGATGCAAACTCGTATCCGGTTGTAGACAATAAAGGGTCTGTACTTGCAGGACGTTAACAGTGCCATCCATCAACACGGAACAGAGTGGCGTACACATAACCAATGATGCGAATATCTACTTACAGCGTGGCGCTGATCGCGTGCTGCAAGCCGGCCAGAATTCGTATTTTTGGTTACGTGGCTCATATTGTGTCTAAAGCGGGGAGCACAGACTTTTGCATAACGCATAAACCATATACATAAAGAATTTGATTGGTCCATTGACTCATGCATAAGAAAATTGACCAATGAAATTCCTTATGCACATGCTTTATGCGTTATGCAAAAGTCTGTGCTCCCCGCTTAATACTTAATTTAAAAAAAAATTATAAAAAGTTATTAGTTACTGATAAAATGTAACTAAATCAAGTTAAAAAGTTAGGAGTCTAAAATGTAATTAAGTTAAATTAAAATTAATTAACTTTTTAACTTAACTTTTAACTTTTTAATTTAGTACTACCCAACCCTGCAAAAATTGAGTTACATGTTTGCACTTAGCGTCTGTTTTCTTGTTCTAACCCAATCCTAGGACGTATTTTGGTAAATTATATGCAAACCTGGGTATGGCCATAACCACGGACATTCTGTAAATCGAAGAAATTTTAATTATAATTTATTGGCATTCATACATTTATGTATTGTTATTTTATTAGTTATTAAGTTTGGTAAAAATGGAGAAAATCAGGCTTATCATGCATTAATAAAAAAACAAAAGTTATTAAACACGTGAAAAATGATAGCTTTTATTACTAACATTTTTTACGCGTTTAAAAATAATAATTTTTGTTATACGTTTAATTTTTGTTATTAATAAAATCCTTCTTGCAATTTTTTCTAGGATGTAAAAATTCAATCTTTAAAAATTTTGCAGTATGATTATGATGCAAGTAAAAAATAAATGGTAATTATTTAGTACAGAGGAATTAAGGATAAAGTTAAAACAGTTATAGGTCTCGAGAGTTTTGATAGAGTTTTAGGATTCTTTTAAATAAGAGTGCAAGAGTTTTCTTATGTTTATAAAATAAGTTCTGGCGATTAACACTGTTTAAAATGACATTTGACAAATCTAGTACTAATATCCAATATTATAATTAGATAGTTTTGAATAGTTTTTATTTGATGTTTTTGACGAATATTAAGAGTTCCCAGTAAAAATAAATTTTAATTATTTTTTAAAGTAAAAAATAAAGACTTAATATGAAGTCCAAATGGTTTTAAGCGTATGTTTCTCTTTCAGCAAGTTTTAGAGTTCCTGGTAAATAAAACACAATATCATATTTCTATAATTAGCATTTATAAAACTTCGAAACCGAATAACTTCTTAATTACTGATCGGATTGTCTTCTGCCATATTTGTAAAGAAAAGAGAAGAAAGAAAAGAAAAGAAGATCTCTTACAGCACTGTCCAGAACTGACTAAAGAAAAATGTTGTACCTTCAAGATCGATTTTTAATTATTATACCTATTAGCCGGATCATTTAAAAAATTACTCAACCTCGAAGATGTGACTCGCGCGACATTTAATAAAATTCCGACATCTTTTTTAAATTTCCAATAGTTCTGACGACAGTTTTTGATAGTATAATACTTTAAGAGTTTTAGAAGAAAAATTATAATTGAAAGAAATCCGGCCAATAATTAAGTGACTTAATTTTGAAGGTGCAACTCGCAAAAATCAGTTAATTATTAGTTCTGATAAAATTCTTTTTAAGAATTTCTAGCCGCAGTCCTATATAGTACTTTAAGAGTTCTACAATAAATTATAATAAAATACGATTAGATCAGTAAATATAGTTAATTTTCAAGAGTTCTGATAAAAATTGAGACAAAAAGAGACAAAAATTTTTTAAGAGTTCTAGCCACAGTCCTGTACAGTACTTAAAGAGTACTATCTATAAAAAAATTATTAAATACATCAGACAATCCGGCCAGTTAAGGAGTTATTCGGTTTCAAAGTTTTGTTGTTACTAACACACTCGCCATGTTGATTGTTGGAATTATAGAGATACGATATGTTTGATCAAAAACTCTATACCTACAGAAAAAATTTCTATATTCAATGCTATTATTCTTTGATCTAGAATTAGAGATAAAAATGACCAAATTTTATGAATTTACTTGATAGTTTACTGTAAATTAGTCAACAATTTTTGGAGGCTGGTAAAATGGTAATTTAAAAAAATTATAAAATTAAAGTAATTTGATATAAGAGTATTTATAGTCATTAAGTTAAAAAGTTTAAAAACACTTTCTTTAATTAAAATTTTTATTTTTATACATATTGATATAAGAATAATTGAGAAACTATATAAGTACGTAGTAACTACAGAAACTTCAAATAAATTTTTTATTACAATTTTGAAAGCAAAAAGTGTGACAGGTACAGTCTTATTTTCCGTACTCTATTTTTCACACCTTATAAAATTATAACAATTTTAATTAGATTTTGCTCGTGTTTTGCAATGCAAAATATAAAGAAAAAAACGGTCTAAATCGAGCTGTAATAAAATTTTTTTATAAAATAAATTTTTAATTTATAATTAATACAACATAAAAATAAAAAATAAAAAATAATATAAAAATAATATCGAACGTTTCAAAATTCACGGGTTCCTCTTTATCTCTATGCTAAGGTAAAATATGGCTGATATAACTTATAAATATAAAACTTATTTATAATTTATATTTATTCTGTTATATGTGCTACTTACTATATATAATACGCAGAGTGTAGAAGATAGAAATGTCAATCATCAGTTGTTATTCTCCGCCACCAAACGAGATTACTACTTTCTAAATTCTTTGTAGTAAAATCTCCAAGAGAGTGAAAAAATACAATCATTTTTACTCTTCTTAAAAAATGGCTGTATTTTTATTCTTTTAAAGTAAGATTTTACTCCAAAAAATTTAGAGAGTATATTCCTAAATGTGTACAGGTTAAATAATTGATGTTTCCGTCAAGACAAAACCGGTTCAAATACCACGGACCGAATTAAATGCTGCTAAGAAAAGCATTTTTGCACACTGCAAAACAACTTGTGTGTTCATTAACATCTATTCTGTGTAAAAAATTAATTCAGTGGTTAAAAGGTATTTACAGTAGTGAGTAGATTGAATAATCCGAACACCATTTCTACATATCGATTCTTGTATTGAAAAAATTGTTATATATATATATATATGTATATATATTATGTTAAGTAAAAATATTGTACATATTTATATAATATTATTTATAACGTATCAGTCAATAAAGCATTGATTAAAATTAACATGACATCTCCTAATCCGTAATAGGAATCTTGTTTTTTTTATTTTTATTTTGATATGGTGAACACTCAAAGAAGCACATAAAAATGCGATTACGGTGTAATATGTTTCATGAAGAAAGCTCTGAAACACATGAAAAAATCGAATATTTTTCTTTATTATCATGTTTCTTATTTGAAGACATTAGACTTTTTCATTTTTCATGCAAATGTTTCATATATTAAATTATTCATAGAAAAACTCTTTCGAGTGCGCTATATGTACATACATTTATACATGTATATGCATTTTCAGGATTGCCACAAGTCAGGGAATTAAAAAATGCGCCAGGGAAGTTAGGAAAAGTCAGGGATTTAGCACACTTGTCAGGGAAAATAAAATAGCTGTAAATAAATTTATTATTGCCTTGTGCTTCTATGATTGGTTTGAACTACCTTTTTTTTTCTTTTTGGAATTTGTTTCCTGAAGAAAATGTGCATCTATGTTACATTGCTGAATCAACAAAATATTTAACATTTTCCGTATTACGATAAAAATACGAGAAACATTGCAAAATATGTATTGTTCAAAGTCAGGAAAAATCTCAAAATTTTTTGTCAGTAAAAGGGAAATATTAGGAAATTTTAAGATTAAAAATTTGTGGCAATCCTGATTTTAGATAAAGCAATAGGTCTGTTCGCGTTGCATGAAATCCCCAAATAATTTTGCACTTAAAGTGAGATAGATGTATATTCGGCTTTAAAAAGAAAGAAAGCGAAGATGGTAAGTGCAAAAAGTGCAAGCAACGCGAACAGACCTATTATCATCTATCCGTGTTACTAAGTGCAGTTGATCGATGTTTACTTGTTAGGCTTTCAAACTGTTAAGTGAGATACGTATCACGTACAATTTATAAATACATTACCTATTATATAAGCGTATGGTCTTTTTATCATCTTAAAATCTGTCATTTATTACAAATTTTTATTACATTAATTAATAAGTTAAAATATTTTTAAAACAAATTACAATAATATAGAATATAACAAAATAATATAGGAAAACTTAATTTTTGTACGTAACAATTTCTCAAAGTGTTATTAATGTGTAAATATTTTATTTCGTTAACATAATTGTAATCAAGCTGTGTTATTTGTATCAATTTACAATGTTTTAAATAATTTCTTATTATTAATTTTTATTAATTTATTATTTATAATAATTTTTATTATAAAATTTCTATGTTATTATATAGATTCATTAGAAAAAGATTAAGAATGTTGTATAATAATAAGGCTCAATATGTTTTTAAAACAACTAATATAGAGAAAAAGGGCAATGAGTCAATAAATTAAGTTAAAAATCCTTTTAAACTTAAAAAGATTAGGCCTTATTATGAATCATTATAGTTTTTTCAAATTCTGAATTATTATTTTACAATTTTGTTTAAAATTATTACAAACAATACAATATACAACTACAATTATTATACTGGTATAAAAAATGCATGTGAATTAAGAAAAGCAGAGTTTTAGTAAGCATATTGAGGAAAAAACTACTACACATATGTATATTTAAGATAAGTCTTTTTTTAATTTCAAATTTGTAAGAATTAAGTAACTAACAAGTATACAGATCAGTTCTCGCAATGATCACTATATATTTATTCAGAATAATTGATTAATCGACTTCGTTAGTTTTAACGTTGCCGGAATGCATTTCGAACCACAAACCCTGTACGTACGATAGTGCCAGTCCTTTATAAATCCACGCACGCCAGCCCGTTCTTGTTTCGTCGTCGATCCTCGCTTCCAAACTCTGACATAACGCCTTTCGATCATGGCTTCTTCCACTGCGTAAATCGCAGAGTAATCTCTTACGACACTCATCGTTGCACGCCGGTCGTACCGGAGAATTCTTGTAGTAATGTCTGTAAAGAATAAAGGCAATTACATCGTTTACTTTTCTTAAGGAAAGTTTGAACATCCAATTTCAGTTTTCATTTCTAAAATAATACTATAAATCGTCGTTCATATTTGTATTCGTTAGAATCCAATTGATATAAATAATGGAATGTATTAATGTGTGATGATAACTTTTTGTGTTAACATGTTATAATATCTAGGTAGCAAGCTGAGAGAGAGAGGGAGAGGGAGGGAGAGGAAGGGGAGAGAGGAAGGGGAGAGAGGAGGGGGAGAGAGAGAGAGACTATTCGTCATTTTGACATAAAAATGACATCTTTAAAAAGATACTGGAGTGACCGAACTTGATTGATGTTGACAATATACAAATTCTTTTAATTCTAAATGTAAATTAAATATGTCGATAATAACATTGACGAGATACTACATATAATAAAGATAATAATTGAGAAAAAATTGTAATTTTGCAGCAATATATGATATCTCACAACCAGCGCCTGTTCTTTTAAAAATAGATCATTTGGAGTATTCTAATTATGTTTCATGAACAGTTGGAAATAATATGTTAAATTTAACATAAATCGCATGTTCCAAATAGTCCACTCAAATTTTTGTGTTAATTTAACACAATATGAATATGTTGAATAGTAATATGGATACTATGTTCATATTTCAACAAAAATGGAATGTAATCTTGAATAAAATTTGAAGAGAATTATATGTACAATCAACATATTATTATGACAAAATTAACATATAACAAATGTTCTCTAAAAAGACGATTCGCCTAACAACACTACCTATTCCTGTTATAGAGTAAAATAAAATCAACATCCTTATTCTATAAATTTTAATATTTACTAAATACGTGCAAATTGTGATACTTTATCATATTTTTTAAATTGTTTTAATAACTTTACACTTCATATTCATTATATTTATTTAACATAAGAGACATATGTTAAATTTACATCTAAATGTGTACCTTACTTAACATAAAAACTGTAACGAGTAGATTTTTACACAAAAATACACATTTGAGATTAAAAGGAATTCACTTCCATGTTTCCGAATGCTTACTTCTGAAAATTTCAATCCATTTCAATCCATTTTTGTTTACTAGGAATACTAGGATAACATTTTTTTAAAATGAAATTATGGTATTAATCATCGTATAATGCGAACAGAATTACTTATAGTAAAGATCAAAGAGGGCCGGCTCATTAGTCATCTTGTCAATCAGCGAGTCCCAGTCCTTAGGTAAAAGTGACGCCATTTGGTAGGCTTGTCGCGCGCTGTACAACTTGTACCAAATCGGGTAATCATAAAGATTCGCTTCCTTTAGATTCATGACCCAACTCTCATGATCAACGACCATCTGGAATAAACGCATGAGTTAGAAAATGATAAAAACACTTAAGACACGCGTATGTACAAAATTATCGTTGCTAGATTGTAGGAAAGTTACTTTTTTTTAAAGGAATAAGTTACAGTTACCTGTTATCGAGTCAAAAAGTAAAAAGTTATTGTTACAAATCACTAATTTTGAAAAATAACTTGTAACAGTTACCGTCACTTAAAAATAATGATATTCTATAGCTTCTATAATATTATATTATAAATCAATAAAGAACATGAATGATAGTTAATAACGGTTACTTGTGTGCCCAAATACAATTTTTATTAAAACAAAATGTTTGTCAAAACATTATCTTACTTACTCTTGTAGTCTTGGAATGATCTCCATCAATGTAATATATTCTATAGCCTGGATTGAGATCATAATATGGCGAAACCGAAGGACCGACGTAGGCGATGCTGAGCGCTCTACCAAGGTCTGACGTATCATAAAATATCTGGAATTCGTCGTAATGTGTATGTCCAAAGAACTGTGCCGTGATTGTTGATTCATAGCTATGTAAAAACGGAAGGAGAGTATATGTCAATATATTGGAGTTCAATAACGATTTGTAAACCATCAAATCAGTACAAACCGGTTTATTATGTGATAATAATTTCTCGACCACACTTTAAGACAATCGGAATGTCCGGGAGGAATGTGACCAATTATGTGCACCTTCTCGCCATTAATTTCGGCACCTTGCAGTTCATACACAAGCCACTGTAGCTCGCTGACCGGATCCGTGCTGTTGATCAGTAACCACCAGTTTTTATTATTACAGTAATTCATGTTCACCGAAAGAATTCTGAAACCTGGTCGAACCAAAACCGAATAGAAGGCGCCGCGACGAACAGTATGAGACACACCCGCCGGCAACCAATGCCGCCAGTGTTTATCAAGTTCATCATACAACCAGGAAATACTGTTCTCTTCAGGCACAAATGGTGGTGGGAAGCTAAAAAGAACGATAATAGATATCATTTCTTACAATTAATTTAATTATTTATTTTTTAGAAAGGAATCAAAAATTAAAATACGTTGAAAACTTGCGATTCTGATCTTCTTTCTATCTACTTGAATCCCATACAGCATAGAATATTTGTAAGTATTTATTAATATTCATTTTTTGAAATGTTATATAAATACTTTATATACATTTTATATATTGAAATGTTATTAAAATATAGACTAAATATTTTATGACCCTGGTGCAGTTTCAGCAAAAAAAATTTTGCTGAAACTTTGCAGAAATTTTATTGAAATTGTCAATGAAAATGTTGAAAATTTATGTAATTGAAGTTTGGAGCATTCGTGGAGCAAAATTAAAAATAAGCCTAAACTAAACTGGCAGAAAATTAACTCATCACTCAAAATTAATCACTCATATGTACATGTGACCGAAAATTTGCTATGAAAAAAAGACAGAAGGACACTCAGTAATTGAAAAGTCTCGCATGTTCCTCCGTACTATCGCAAAGTTCCTACGTTCGTCCATACGCTCGGTGATAACCGTTCATAACGATAAAATCATTAAAACAGTAGATTTCGGATCGTTAATAGTTGAGTGAACAAATGGAAAATAGCTAAATTAATATAAATTAAATGAAAATTATCAAAGGTCTTAAATCTAAAATACAACATGGCACCATGTGCGTACAATAACAAATTAAGATATAGATTAATTCAGATAAACAAGGAATATAAACTTATAGTTTTTGAATATGGCCGAAGACACCGTGTCTCCTGATATATAGATAGTTAACTAAATCATTATATGCTTGACTTCAGCTCTCTGTATCTGTCTTCAAGTTAAGACCATTATTTATATGTATCATTTCAGAAATAAGAAAAATATGATACAATCTTTCTACATCCATAATTTTGATAACAGACCAGTCATATTATGTTTGTAATGCATTCTATAGTCGGTAATTACAGAATGGGTTGTACATTTTCCTCCGAATATATGTAAATTTATATATTCGGAAATTCTAGTTTTTAATTTTTGTTTGTTTATTCAACATAAGATGCATCGCAATCCTTGCAACTACTTTTATATATTGGGTTGGAGGATAAGTTCTGTGGTATTTTATTAGCTTAAAATTGTATATTGTACCCAATGATATATGAGAAACAAGTCGTAACGGTCAAGTTGGATCTTGGATGCTTCTATATAATTGTGTATGAATTTATATACTATGTATGTAAATTTTTAACTGCGTACCGAATTTTTTTCAGACTTGAAATGCAAGCTCTACTAAACTATCGCAGTAATATCACGAGTTAAATTGACAAACAATTTAACAATCTTTTATACTCTTTACGTATCTTAGATCGATCTTAATAATATTGAATAACATTAAAATCTGTAAATAATCAATTCTTATTGCGAAAAATATTACCTCGGTCGAGAGTTGAACTTGGATCTCTTGTATTGCGAGCATCCTAAGTTTTTAAGTCTAAAGGTTCGAGATCTCGTTGAAGCAAAAGTAATCACTTTTGACGGATATCCATATAACTCCGTAAATTGGCGTAAATGATCAGTCGTATTGAAATTTCAATTACAGATTTTGTAAGTAGAGATTTCAATCTTTAAAATGCTTTTTTAATTTTTGTCTGCGATGATTTTTCATCGAGTTACGGTGTTCTAAATATTTCCTAATTTTTAGTTCGAAAATGTTCTCTATTTGTGTTGTTGAGTAGTGTATTTTGGGACCTAAGATTCAACTTGACCTTCGAAAACCTTCCTTTTACTTATTGTGTAATCATATTTACGGTTTTAAGAAATTTTTTAACATTGTTATAAAAAATTATTTAATAATTTAATAAATAAAATTATTACTATATTATCAGTTTCTCACTTTTCACTTAAATAACCACAATTTATATGAAAAAAATCTTTTCAGTCAATTTGTTTAATTTTTTATGTATTTATAGTTCTCTTATAATAATTAAGTTACAGGGGACATTTTTATGTCTAGTTATTGAATTAAAAATATCTAAAAATCTTTTTTATGAGGTCTCTATTCTTTTTTCTCTCTCTCTCTCTCTCTCTCTTTTTCTGTTCGTACCGTGTACAGAAGTGTACTTATGAGACAGACTAAATTTGGATTTGTTCTACGTATATATAGCGTTGAAACAAGTCGCCTTTCTTATTGGAAAATAACAGAGTAAAGAATACAAATTCTAAACTATATAGATATATATATAAAACTTTTGATTTGTCTTTGTAAAGAATGGTGATGAGTCTAGCGATGCCTAATAACGATTTGTAAAGCGCAATCGGATTCGGAATCGTGTAGCGCGGATTCATAGACGCAATCAGATTAGGAATTGGGCAGCGTTGCTAATTCACGAATTGCCGAGAGAGTAACCACTAGCTGAAATATCCCATAGATTAGGTACATAATTTCATTTGATTTCATATGGATTTCATCTGATAAAAAATAATTTTTTTCACTACATATGAAATTATTTGGTAACATAAAAAAACAATTTTATCTAATATATTATATAATTATTTCTTGTAGTAATTATCGAATTATACATAGTAATAATTTCATATTTTATATAATAATAAAAATTTATAATTTTCGAAATTTTATAATGATTTTCTGTTCCACGATTACATTCAATGATTACCCCCTCGCAAATTGCGGTGTTGCAATAACAGCATCGATTTGAACGCGTAATTTTGTTGATTTTGTTACTAATTTCGATCAAAAAGAGAAACTTGAGAGAGGACATGAGAGCTTTCAAAAATGTTGCTAATTTTGAGCGTTTTTACTAATAGCGTTAAAAGGTGAATGTTGTTACAAATCGATAATAATACCCTTATTCCAAGACGGGCGGAAACTCCAATACCCCTGAGAAGGGTGCAAGGAGTCGTCATACTGGGTCAATATAACAAGTATTTCTAAAAAAAAAAGAATTGATAGCGAAAAGTTGAATTTTTGTCTACACTTAATTTTAATATCGATTGTCGTGAAATATGATTTCTGTATCTTTTGAAAGACAACCATTTTATCCGAATACGTACAATTTTTTTATTCTGATAGCGACAAAATTAATATTAAAGGAGTAACCTTTTTCAGAGAAATTTTAGCTCAATTTCAGCAATTTTTCAATATGTTAGCTAAAAAATTTATTTCTACTGAAATTTCAGCAAATTTTCAATAATTTCATTGAAATGTTCCAAAATGTGGAATAATTTCAGCGAAATTCTTTCATCAGGGCTAGCTGCAACTTGATTTTTCATTAGGAATGCAAGAACTGCAATATATAAAAAATTGAATCAACTTGATTGAAAACATATTTTTTTCATATAAATTATGCGTGATCTTTTTAACAGTCACGCAATTCCATAAAGCTAGTAAATCTTTAATAAGATCTTGTTAATGCCACGCGTATAAAATAGTGAAATATTCATCTCACATGGTAAAACATTGGTACAGCCATTAAGATTCACCCTGTATATACATGCATCTTACGAATGTACCTGTTAACTGGTGCGCTCTCGTGATTTCCTAAAGCCGGAAAAATTGGTATTCCGGGAAACATCTCAACCATCTGCGCAACCGTATCACGCAAGATTTTTAAATTTTCTTCTCGCGTTTGATTCCAGATATCATGAGCAGGTAAATCTCCGGTCCACAAAATATAATCAATGTCCTGGAAATTTTTTAAATGATAAAGAGAGATTTTCTCTATCTCCCAGTACAAAATAGAGAAATCAAACAACTATAAGGACAATCGAAAAATCTATGAAAGTAATCCGGAAGTAATTGAAACTTTTTATTATACATAAGAAATAATTATTAATAAATTAATTTAAGAAACTATATTATAATTAATAAATCAATTACTTCTTCGTTTTATTTATTGGTCAAAATATTACTAAAAATTCTTTTCAAGCAGTGAGGTTTGCTTTTGAACAATAAACGTCTCCTCCTTTTTATCGTCATCTCTTTAAAGACTAATCTATAATGTTTTTTGTTTACTATTTTTTGTTTTTTATCTCTTATCTTTTTATTTCTGCAGGCACTGTTTCATCAACAATCGCGTTTTTTGTCTCTTCAGAAGTTTGTTAACTTTCTTGTTTTTTTTTAAACATTTTTTACTTCTTTTTGCTCTTTACCTAATTTTTCCATTTTTACCGCCCGAGATAAAAATTGGAAAACTTAAAAAAAAGACAAAAAGTAAGTAAAAAGAAATGATTATTGATAAAACGGTCATAAAGAATGAAAAAAGACATGAAGAAAAAAAACAAGAAACAGGAAGCAAAAAATATATTAAAATTAGGTTTTATCTCAAGCGAGAGGAAAGAATTAGGAACATCGTGTTAAATACGATACTGGCTAGGTTTACATCGTACTGTTGTAGCTCAAGAATGCTACCACGTCTCGCATTTCAGCATAGCAACCAGCTGATAAGAAATGTGAGACTACTACCGCAAAGCAACCTTGCAATTCGGCATAGCAACTGTCCTTCAATGTTGTCTTCAGCTCTTCTCGTATACGAATGTTCTGTCTATCTTGTAAGTCTATGGATATTCACTATCAGTACTGAAAATCTGTAGTGCACATAACGTACACCATACATTTAATAATGTTAACATGATTCATCAATTCTTACAACTTACAATTACGCTTACGTAATTATAAGGTTGAATCGCGTCGTATGTTTCAACATAGCTCTTACTCACTCCTATGTATGTACGTGTTGGAGCATGCAACGCGGACAAACCTGTAGAATATGCTTTAATTGTTTGTATGTGCTGCTCACCGAATGTGTATCGGCGATGTGTTTGAGCATATGATCAATCGTTCTTTTCGGCGTATCACATTTTCTATAGTCGCCCCATCGTCCGGCAGCCGCAAAGGTGGTCAACGGAGAACCGTTTGTTAGCCGACAGCAGAGTGGCTCGTTGCACTCTGCGTTCGCACCCTCCTGGTAATACGGATCATAGTGCGTGTCAGAAATGTGCAGGACCTTGAACGTCGGCGCGCCTTCCTGTGGCGGAATCGGCGGCTTAATCGGTGGCTTTTTAACTGGTGGGAAGGCAACTTCCCATTCATGCAATGGGTTAAACGCATCATCGCACGCATCACCGATTACGAAGCTGCAGATCTGCGTCGGACCCATGTTCACCTGTTTTAGGACATAAATCACCTCTCCCTACAACAAAAATTTATTATTATTAATCTTTGTTATTTATGTAAAAACGTATATGTTGTAACATATGGTATATACATACGCTGTAATAATACATAGTATATAGAAATAAATATATACAAGGTGAGTTTTTAATTTGCACATCTCGAAGAACTTGTAAATTATAACTAAGTTGTACGAAAAATTGTTATATACAAAAATTGCATGACTTTAAGACGATCATTATACATAGTGTATAAAGGAGAATACAAATTTTGGAGTTTTCCGATCATTCGGGAACCGTTTCATTTGTATGTTTTCTTATATATTTTTCTTCGTAAAAACCAAAAATGATCATTGTAATAACGCCAGACTTAAAGAAAAATTGATACATTGAAATAAAATGAATAAAATCCTTATTCGTATCGTTATGAAATCACTTTTGTTAATTATGCCTCAATGATTTAGAAATTAATTCCAAATTGGATCAAATGCGAGTAATATTGCACTATAAAACGTTAATTACATTATATTGTGTCGCTATATATCTCATTTAATCATGATCTTTTGACAAGAAAACATTATTTGATTTCTGGACACTATCTACACGATCTGACAAAGAATATTATATTTCATTTTTTTAATTAAACGAACAACTAATTTATGGATACAACTTATCAATATGACTTATACAAAGAATTCTATCAACTTGATTTTATACTTTATTCCAACTTCCGAATGAAGAAATAGTATATATTCATTATATTTCATTTGGACTTGTAGAATGTCACAGTCCAGAATTATGCAGAATTAAAATTGAATTTAATGTAGAAATTGTAAATATACATAATTTAATTATGTTGTAATTCAATTATATTGTAATGTGTAATGCAGTCTTTTATATAATTAAATTACGTATATATAAGTAATTTGTAATTTCAATTGAAATAAAATTACGAAGTATAACGTAACTAAATTAATTAATTATAAATTATAATATGATGTAATTGAATTAAAATTACGAATCAAGAAATGAGAAGTTTAAACAGAAAACAATTATTATGTGTGATAGATAGGATATTATTTATAAATTCATAATATCTTAACTTAACAGGAATAATATTTGTATTGCATTTTCTTTTCATTTAAAGATAAATATTCCAAAAATAAAAAAGAAACAACATTCAACGCGTCTCTACTATATTAATTTACAATGTATATTACAATGTATGATAATCACCTGATGTAACTTATTTAACATTGACGGTTGAATCGTGTATGAATGGGAAACGGAGAATGTGCACTGCGTAATACATAGTATAGACATGAAACAAGAATAGATTGAAAAACATAAACACACATGGTAAGTCACGTACTATGAGCGAAAAGAGAAAAATACGCTATATAAACAAGAAATGAACATATATTTGAAAGTTAAACAAAAATTAATCTAAGTCTTATTTTCAAAGCTGTCAACTTTGACGGTTATAATATAATTCAATTACATTAGGTTTTAATTATGTCCATCATTAAAATATTCAGCAATTGAATTAACTAAAAAATCTAAATTATATAATACAATTACAACGCAATTGAAATACAATGTAATTAAATCGCATAATTCAAATATAATGTAATTGAATTAGCACAACTCTGTTACACCTCGTAATAATTAATCTAATATGTAATTTGTCCAGCTTGTCATGTGGTCTCACTTTGAATAATTTCTTACTGTCTTTTTAAATTTAATTTTTTTCGTGGATGATAACTAAATTAAGTCGAAACGTTCCATTAATTGATATTTAAGAATTAATAAATTTGAATTTGAGATTTGAAATTATATACTCTTTATTGACCTATCTTCCTTTCATTATTGTTTAGCAAATTAAAGCTAGATATTCGAAATTTATTATTTACTAAAGTTTATGCTGTATATAATGATCTTTTTGAAGTCATGCCACCTTTTTATGTAACAATTTTTCATACAACTTATAATTTCAGTTTTTCGAGATGTGTAAGTTAGTTATAACGTCCCATATCCCTTATATTTGAATATCCTGGCTTTACCCCAAACAGCATGGTTACTCCGTGACAAACTCGTGGACTCTGTATGTTGAGCGATACACAGAACTGATAAATGCTAGCCATTATCTCTTCATCGCTCTTGCCGTTTTTTATGTAGTGCTGCAGCAAACCAGCGCCGACTTTACAAGCAGTACAAGAAACCTTGGACATCACAGAGGTTTCGACCTCCATCATCACTTGTCTCAGATCTAGCAGCTTAAGAGCTTTGTCTACAAATCCAGATAGATGTCCGTTTGGTTGGACCATTTCCATATCCCATAGCATCCGCGAGTAATTTAACTGTAATCAAATATATGGATACATTGAAAATTAATCAGCGTACATTCACGGTGTTGTATCATTTCATAACTTAGAGTAGATCAAATTGAAACAATAAGTTTCCCCATGTCATCCTAAATCGATCGCATATTGCTATCGCAATTTTGAGATAATTGATCGTACCCCTTTTAAGATCAAAGGAAGTTTGTGTATAAATGCCTGCTTGTATTGGCTATGAAAAAGCTGCTTTGCAACTGCTGTAAGATTCTTTACGATTAAGTTTTACATTTATAGATCCATAAGGAACTAACAGCAAAAACTATTATATTAAAGAACCTTGCAATTGCAAAGCTGCGGCTTTTTCTAGACAGAGCCATTTTCTTTTACGGAAGCAATGACGAATGGTATCAATGTTCGCGCGCGACTTTCACGAGTGAAAGTCATTGACACCGTATTACGCACTGTATGTGTGACATACGAATAGGAAGAATAGAAGACACATACTTGCTTTCGCCTCTCTCTCATTATTTATCGGTAATCGCTTTAGTGAAAGTATTTAGCGTTGAAGTAGGAGTTGCGTTGACATTGTCGTGTCTCCAGTCGGATGTCAGACAAGAAGCAGAGACAAGAAAGGAGAAAAAAAGAGTCATGAAAGAAGTGAGTCATGATGAAATGCAATTATAAGAATGCAGATGACAATTTTGGACAAACTGCGTCTTCGTAAAATTATTATATATTTAAAATGTTTGTAATAAGGCTCGATATGTTTTTAACAACTAATATAGAGAAACAGAGCAAGGAGCCAATAAATTACGTTAAAAATCTTTTTAAATTAATTTAATATATTGCGAAGAATATCACGTAATTATGGCGTTTCGTCTGAGCTTCCATTACTGGACTCATCAGTAAGGCATTGTAGTGGAAGTCTACCTTATACGCCTGAAAGAATTATTCAATCGAGATTTTATATGAAAAGATATACGCGTATCAAAGCGAGAATTTGCGAATATCGATAGACCTCTGATGGCGGGTTGACGTAGTAATATTCTTCGCAATATTTATTCAAAGTAATATATGAATTCCCCCCCCCCCCCCAACAATATATTTATAGAGATCTATTAAAATAGATTTAACCAATTTAATGTAGTACTGTTTTACACACAAATAGTTTACATTGTACACTTTATGAATTACAAATAGAATTAATATCAATCGATGATTTCGACGTCAAATATTTAGTACGCGCGATGTAAACACTGCAGAATCAATTTGGTATATACGAGCTTATTAAGTATAAGAGCAGTGGTGTAGTACTTAGTACCCTGGCGAGATCTGGCGGCGCCAGGATATTTTTTTTCGGAAAGCTAAGCCTAGCGGTGCAGCACCAAGATTCTTTCTATATAATTATTTAAAATTAATTACAAACAATTTATTTAAAATTAATTCTTTTAGTAAGTATAATAAGGCAGGTAAGAAGAAAAAGAAGCATTTAAATATTTATTAAAACCTGAATTTTGAAATGATAATATGGCGATAGCGTAGCTAAAAAAGCGTCCAATCACAGTACATAGTACATATGGACTTTATTTAAAAGATTGGTTGGCATTTTTATTTCTTTCGCCGCATTGTGTAATGGGCGACAGTTTATATATCTCTTATTTCTATATTATTCCTATCGTGCTATACTATCGCTATTGCCTCGCATTGTGTTTAGGGCTTTACTCTCTCCAGTCTTGCCGACTCAATTCTAGTACCGATGCTTACGCTATATTAACTACCAGGGTGCTACGAAAAAATTCAAATAAAAATATGGATGCAAATTACTTTCTTACACCCTTGGACAGCCTGATAAAGACACTGAGTATATTCAACGTACAAGTATACTCTCTTGCAATGATAACTCAAGACCAGTAAATTGATTGCGGCTAAACCAATAAACGCATTAAAAAATTATATAAATAAATCAATAACTGAGAGGAATAATATAATATCATAATAAAAGAATATAATGCAAATAATGGTTATTACCAGATAGTCGGTAGTAATATTCAACATTTAAGCTTATCGAATGTTAATATTCCATTACATGATTTCTGAGTTATTTGACAACCAGGAGTGTCTTGTACTACATATCTATACTTTCGTTATACGATAAGGACCTCTATAAGGTAAATGTAATTTCCTATCTTCTCTTTTAAGAGAGATATTTCTAATCATAACAATATCGCCTAAAGAATAATTAGTAGGATTCTTATAATGCTGATCATACTGTAGTACATACTAATAGGTATAATTTGTTATAATTTTTAACTTGATCAGATGTTTGTAAAGCAATATCTCTAATTTGAGTTCTTGAATCACTCATTGTCAGATCCAAAGTTTCGTTACACAAATTTTTCAAAAATTGAGTTAATTTAGAGTTGCAATGATTCCGCATATCAAACACTAGCAATAATTTTGTAGGAGAGTTTTTAATCGATAAGTGATAGATAGATATTGATAATGTACTGTAATTCGTTAATTTTATTTGATCAAGAGGTTTACTCTTTAATCATCTTTCTAAGTGATGGTTTTAAGAAACCGTTGATACGTTCCACGAGTCCGTTTGCTCATGGTGCGGCTACCGCTATTATACGATGCTCGATATAACTGATGATGTTTTTCAGACACTGCCACGACGCAAACAATATTGTGATTGCTCGCGTCTTGGCTGTGCGTAAACGAAGAAAGTTTTCTTACCCGTTCTAACTGTTCTGGACTCGTGCCGTTAACGATAAAGGTCTCCGCCGTAGGCGGTAGTTCTCGGAATCTCTCATTGAACGGCAATAAAGCGACATCCATCTTTTCGGCAGCTCTGGCTTTCGCTGCGATCCATTCGTCGGCTAGCGCGGTCCAGTTGGTCGATGCTATTTCCACTTCCCGTTTCGTTCTGTAGCAAATGGGATTTCCTGCGAAAATTGGAAAAATAAAGTGGTTGTTTAATTAAGTGGCGAACAATCGAAAGTGAGACAAATGCTTTATTTTCGCTTGTTTCTATAGCGACAGTCATTTTCGGTAAATTATTTGCATGTACCTAACAAATCACGATATATAATAATTTAAGGAATCCTAAAGTCATCTGTATTACTGACTAAACCATATAATTTTTGTATTGCAAATACTTTTTTTGTCATACACAGATTCGAAAATTCTTTTCCAGAATTAAAGTATACGTATTAATACCTGTGAGGTAGAATCTATGTTGAAAACGACAAAAAATTTCGAAATTGAGTTCTACTTTACTATTTCTTAGTCCAATGGCACTTTAGAGCTGTCACATCGTTGTATATCGTGATAACATTTACTTCATATAAAAACTATACGTACGAAATAGTAGTCCACAGGTAAGTAATTTGCATGAAGAAACAGTGTGGAGTTCTTATAACTGGATTTAGATGTTTATATAAAACGTAATTGCGATACGAAAATTTATATATGTATGGTATGTGTGAGATATTGATGTAGTGATATGTCAATGACACGTAATCGTCTATGTGTAAGTGCTCTATTTCCAATGACTAATCTTTAGAATCTAAGAAATGGAAAAGTAGAAGTCAATTTCGAAATTCTTTTGTCGTTTTCAGCTTAGATTCTACGTTATAATGCGTATATTTTAATCCTGGAAAAGAATTTACGAATCTGTGAATGACAAAGAAAGTATTTGAAAACAAAGAAAGAATAAGGCAAATAAGAATCAAAAAACATAAATACGATCTACAAAATCATCACAAGATGCAATATATTTAGTTAATAAATTAAATCATAATTACAATATACTATTAAGTTCTACATATAAAACAAATTGAAAATTAAAAATTAAAAATTAAAAACATTGTTTTATATGTAGAACTAAATATGTAGTATATTGTAATTATGATTTAATTTATTAACTAATATATTTTTAATTTGTTTTATATGTAGAACTTAATAGTATATTGTAATTATGATTTAATTTATTAACTAAATATATTGCATCATGTGATGATTTTGTAGATCGTATTTATGTTTTTTGATTCTTATTTGCCTTATTCGTTCTTCGTTTTTAAATACTAACAATAAGAGTCCTGTATATTCTTTCTATTTTTAAAAGTATTTGAGATACACAAATTTATGATTTAATCAATAACATAGACGATTTTAGGATTCTCTTAAAAGTAAAGTTTGTATTTTAAGAGAATCCTAAAGACAATCGTTATATTGTAAATAGCACTTATACACAAACGATTTACGTGTTATTGACGTATCATTGCATCGATATCTCACTCACGCATGCTACTCATACTTAATTTTTCGTATGACAATTTTAATTAGATGTTTTAATTAGACGTTTAGTAATTATGAAAGAGAAAAAAGTAATTGTTATACAAAAATATATATATAATATATTTAGTCGGTGCAGATAACTTTAGGATCTTTTTAAGGAGCAATAAGACTAGCTTTTTGACGTTTTTGTTTCTTTCCAATTTTTCGTAGTTTCACAAAATAAAAATTCTTTTTCTCTACGATTAAAATATTTAAAATTGTATATGTTAATTTGTCTTGCGCTGATGTATTTCGTGTCCAAAACTAAAAAAAATAAAAAATATAGATTTGTGCATTCATCTTTACTTCAGTTACATATCATCCGTATAGCGAATTTACCCATGAAACAACTCTATTATTATAAACATTTCACACACATAAAAAATAAACAGTTAAATATGTTTTTTTATTCAATAAAACTATTTTTTGAAATACACATACCCACAACGATCCATGTCGAATTGGTCAGGAAAACGCAAAATAGAAAGATGCGACTTAATATTATGTCTTGATTTGGCATGCTATTTTGTACTCTTTGGTATTATTATCTGCAATCATAAAAAGATATAAAATATAGAAATAAAATAAAAAATTAATACATACTATATATTTAAATATTACATGCAAGGAAATACAGTCTCTGTCAAGTTAGTACCTCAACTTTAAAAATCGGAAATTTTAATAAGCGTACTGCTTGCACCCGCAATAGTTCTAGAGTTCCTGATAGGTTTCATCAATAGTAATGTTGATTTAGGCCAAAAATTTTAAAAAATAAGAATATGCGATGCTAACTTCGCGTGGCACCGCAAGATTTGAAAAAGCCGATTTTTATGACGGAATCTCACAGTACTCGAAGAGTACTACAGTACCTGATCGATTATAACAATAATACCGGCCATTAAATATTTTTAAATAAATTTTAAAAAAAAGAGTTCGCACCTCAACTATCAAAAAAATTATTTTTTTTTGCGCTATTTTGTAGTACTCGAAGAGTACTACAGTTCCTGATCGGTTTTAGTGACACTACCCACCTTTTTAATATGTTTAAACAATTTTTCGATCCGCGCGCTGGCACCGCACGTCAAGAGTAAAGTACCCCTAAACGGCCAGTACTGGCCGACTTTTCGACTTTTTCCGACAGTACTACAATAGTTCCGAAGAAATACGCAGGTTTTGATGAAAACCTATGAAAAGTGCTACTGGAACTGTTGTAATTTTTTTGATATCGACAGAATGTCGTGCCAGCTTCACAGATCCTACTATCTAATGCTATCTCATGTATTTGCAAAACAAAGTTCGCGGTCGCGCGCATAAGTGTGAGTGTGAGTATGTGTATGTATGTGCGTGTACGTATTTGTGATAATATTTGATCTCAAAACCATGAGAATAGCGCAACTGGTACTCTTCGAAATTAATAACTTCATGCCCCATTCTTCTACGATCTAACTTTATCAAATCTCTTGGGAAAATGATAGTGGGCCGTGTTCCCGATACAATCAAACCCACGCGCCCTTTGGGAAATTTTAAAAGTTGAAATCGGTCACACAGTGTAATTATTCGCGTCCGATGCTAATAGGTACCTAACTTATAAACATAACCTATCAATACATACGAGCCGCAAAGAGATTATGGGTACAGGATTGCCTTAACACATTAAGATAGACTTATGTTGTAGACGTAAGCAACGGACAAGCTTTGGTGTATGACGATGGAATTAATGAACATCGCTATATCTCTTGATAGCGTGCTGCCACGTGCTATACATATAAGCAAAAGTAAGTAATCTAATTGTTTGTAAACAAGTCAAAAATAATCTTGTTAATCGTCCTGAAAGTCAATCCTGTGCTCAGACCCTATGAGAGCTAGCTCGCATCACTTGCGAAAATCATACCGGTACAATATAAAGACCAGCAACAAGTACGATTTACTCAACTCCTTTTATTTTTACAAATTTGCCAGTAGCAACATAACTTACAAATATTTTACTAATTTGATATGCTATACTCGAAAAGAGTTTAAATAACAATTATAACCCTGAAGGACACTACAATTCAATTATCTACCTTATACTGATAATATCTTAGGTAAATTGTACCAAAACTTAGATCAGGCACCGAATAAAATCAATTTTGAATATCACTTGTAAACAAACGACTCGAAGACAAAATAAAAATGATAGTTCTTAACCCATATTACCAGCGTCACATCAGTGTCATCATTATTATTAAAAAAAATGTTTTGTTTAGAAAATATAATGGAGATACGATTTAACCGTCGGTACGACTTAGCCAACTCCATCCTAAGTGTATTAAATTTAAATATAAAAAAACTATAAAAAGAATAATACATTCCACGTTACAATATAATACCTTACATATTACATATTTTGACCTATATTTAAGTCTTCTTCAGGTATGTATACATAAAATTCTGACGCAGCAAAATATTAAAATGCGGTACATAAATTCACACAATTATAACTAACACTAACATCCTGTTATAAGACTCGAATTTTCACTTTCTATGATTTTAAATCTTACGAGTCTACGGATATCATCATTCAATATATATATATATAAATATTAAAAGTTGAAAAATTGACGGTTTTGTTAAGTAAATAAATGATTGTTTAATCAGAGAAACGGAAAATTGAAGTCAAAAGTGATTGGATGACCGATTTCAAAAATTTCTCACAGTCCAAAAAATTGAAAAAATCCATGTCATTGTTAAAATATTCGTCAATAATTTGATGTCAACGGAAGTAAAAAGGTTAGTATCACAGTATGAGTGCATAACATCCGATGTATAAAGTAGAGGTCCGTTTAACTATCTCGACGAACATAACTGTATTTATTATGAATTTTTTTGTTTTACGGAACTAGAAGATTTATAATAAATACAGTTATTTAACAAAAAAATCTTTTGTTTATTTAAAATATATGATATATAGAATGGCAATACAAATTAAGCAATACAAATTAAATAGATGTATGTTGAGAAAAATGTTTGGTTCGTAGCCCTTCTCAATATACTTTTATTTATTTTGTTTATTTTATTAACAATTAGAATCACAAGAAATAAAAACGACTTACAAGAATAAATAATTCATAAATTTAAAAATGAGAGCTTATTTGAGCCAGACATGTTAGGTTTTAAGTAATAACGTAAAATGATTTATAATGTTAAAAATTAAAATTACACACAATGATAATAATTATTTTATTAAATATAAATTTATATATTTTTTTATAGTTTATATTTATTCAAGGGCATAAAAAACTCGAAAATTTGTAGCACTTCAGGTCTAGAAGTTTCTTAATTCGATACTACATAATATGTTTCATACATATTACGTACATTTTCCTATACATGAAAGATACGTTTTGTATTACGTGCCATTGCGCGCGTGTGTGTGTGTGTGAGAGAGAGAAGAGATTTCTATATCCTTTGTATCTGACTAATACTTTTAGATTAAATATCTCAGAAATGCGAAAAAACTGAAAAAAATAGTAACATTTTTTCAATAAAGGCATTTTCTATTCAATATTCTTGTGAGCCGTTTTAAATAATTCGAACTTTTACTAATGAATACAAAGATCATTTTTCATAAGAGAGAATTGTGCAATATATTTTTTACATATAAATTGTCTTATAATTTGTATTGTTATCAGTGAATTGAATTATTCACCGAAATATTTCACAAAACTAAAAAGACTATGACACTATTGAAAACTGGCCGTAACGCTTCCCGAACTTCCTTCGAAAGATTATATATAAGGATCGCTCTATATGAAGATAGAAATTATGCGACGGTAACGACCTTAACCATCACTGACGAAAGTAGATGTCTAATAATGTTACCGCAGCACAATGATTCAGAAAGTGAAAAAGCGAATAATTACTAGAAGGGAGAAGAAAACCAGCGTGTCCCCAATTTCTTGGGTCGGTCGAAGAAACTGGAACTTTGTAAATGGAGTATCACAAGCACGCAATCATCAACCAGTTGATGACGAAAGTGGATCATTCGTATTACTACCTGAAACATCTTCATATCTTCTAGAAATAAATATTATAATGATTGTAAGAAATCATTAAAGATGTACGATGCACATTCAACAATGCGCATCGTTTTTCAATAATTTATCGATTATAACTCAATAAAAACGGATTATACAAAAATGTTATGATATAGATGTTTCAATTTGAAGAGTGAAAAAGGCGAATAATAAAAATATGCTGTTCTCTTTGAAAGAATATTTCGTGTAAAGCAGTTTGAGAGAGTTCGAATTTTAATAAAATTTAATGACTGAATTATAGTTACTGCGCACATGCATTGATAACTGAAAAAATTACTTAGAATCGTACAATATCCGTTAATACGCATAAATGAGTTATAAATTTCCTTCGTTTTCTATTAAATAATTGCTTGATATTTTAACAATTATAGATTCTTTTCTTTATGTTCAACAAGTTAAGTTTCTTTAAGTTATCTTTTTTATTCTTAATTTTACGAAAAAAATTTGTATTTACCATGAGGCCATATATTTTAGAATTAAATTAATCTCTATCTATCAATCTGCTAACAACGCTACTAAAACCTCAAAAGCATATTGCAGTTAACGGCTTAGATACATTGCCACGAATTTCTTTGATATTTTCTAATGCCAACTTTCATCCTCCGATTGAGAAGCAAAGCCTTCTTGACGGCATATGTGGCACAGCGTGGTTTCACGCGCTGTAAATTTATCTGTGTATGGCCATTTAAGTTACGGCAATATGCCTTTCTTCCCGAAAATCCGATTGAATGTCATAGCGCCGCTCAAAGAAATTACCCAAACAGCACATAAACGTTCAGGACGAGTAGTAAAGACGTTCCTCAGAATATCCTATCATATTTCCGTCCCAAGACGTGCGACAGTGTGGTATAATAAATGAAACTTCAGCGCGTGCTCAAAGGACCCTGATGATATTATTCTGAGGTCCCCAAAAACAATCATGAGATATTGTAAAAACTTACAGGATATGAAATACATTTTCGTATATAATTATATGCTAATAAGTATTATTGATTAGCATCATATTCCAATATAACAGCAAATTATAAAAAGAAAACGTTTCCTTCTGAATTCTGGAATTAATTTTATGATGCTTCCAAGCGATCACTCATCCTAGTTGCATCCCGTCACTTAATCTCTCCAATTGTACAGGAATTACTACTTTGATAATCCACATATGATGAACCTTGTATGAATGTATAATTGTCTAATATATGTCACAATTATACATTCGTACTGTGAGTAAATACTGTCAAAATAGTGGAAGAGAAGGTTCACGTATCATTAAAACATATTTCTTTAAAAAATTAAATAAAAAAATTTTTATTTCATATCGAAAACACTAAAACTGTCTTACAGAGTGTTTCTAAAACATTCTGAGGCTGTCCTAAGACTTAAAAAAAATATCCTAAAAATGGCGTTCTGAAAACGTCATTAGGACGTTCCATGGATATATGAATATCTTCAAAATGTCTCAGAATATCCTAGAACAT